ATATTATGACAATTAGATTTTTTTGTGGTATTTTCGGAAGCTTCTCTGATTTTTGCAGTTATTTTTTTAAATTAAAATCGTTGTGAGAGCTACCAGAATTGCCTCCGCGAGCTACCGGTAGCTCGCGATCGACAGGTTGGCGACCACTGGTCTAGACAATCGTAGGCTTTGGACAAGTCCAAGAATAGGCCCATAGCCAGCCCACCATTCTCCAGATCACCTAGAACATGCTGAACAAACTCGAAAATTGCCGTTAGAGTAGATTTCCCATGCTGGTAACCGTGTTGATTTTTACTTAATAAGTTATAGGTCATAACAAATTCTGATACACTTTTACACATTGCTGCTTCAAAAATTTTTGAGAAGGAATTTAAAAGACTAATGGGTCTGTCGTTTTCCACCTTTTTTGAAAACAGGTACTATCCAGGCTATTTTTAATTGATCAGGAAACACCCCAAATTCCACCTCAGAGTCACTCATAGGACAAAACTGATATTTTTTGTTAGAGGTTCTCTTTGACTTTTTTCAATGGATGCTGATGCATTTTAACATCACATTACTGTTGAGTGTTTATTTTTCAAGTGGTTGATTATATTCTTTAATTCTTCTGGCGTTACATCAGATATGTATAATGATCTTGGGTAGTCATCAACATAATTTAAATTAGCATTACTGGACACAATATAATAAATTTGTAGTTGCTGAGACAAAGAAATCATCAAAATAATGGGCCATGTTCACATGTGAGATATACTGTTTTATAAATTATATTGTAATAGTTAGTCGCTATACAAGTTATTCTAAATAGTCAGTTCGTTAAAAAAGCCAAAAGTTTTTAAATTAAGCCCAATTGAAATTTAAAATTTGAAATTATACGTCATCGGGAATAGACCAATCATCTTGTGTCGAAGTTTTTTTTGTTATACATAACCAAGCCAACGAACAAACCAACACACAGAATGTCAAAGTGAACGCACATCTAAGTGACATTAAAATTGACACCACCTAACATCAGTAACATCTAACCTTAGTTTTTTGTTTTGGTTTAATTTTATTATTAAAATGAATCAGCTGGATTTATAAAAGTTGAATCAAGTGTTTTACCCATTGTAAACGAAAATATGATTACCGAGATGATTACTGCATTTTTTAACAATACTCAGTTTACAAAAGTCAGAAAGGTAAGACTTTGTTTTAATAGTAGGTAGTTACAGTTTATATGGAGCAAGTAAAACATATTTATCTCAGGTTTTATTTTTAGATCTGCCAAGCAAGAATATAGGGATAATTTATTTTTCCATGAGAGAGAAGGAGACAAATTACACCTAAACATAAAGTACGGCAAAAACCTTCTGATGTGGTTGCGTTGTAATTAACAAAAATGAAATTTTTAGTGCACAATATGCTTAGGATATGCTGCATGTCAAGGTCTGTAATATTTATTATGCTTTTTTGTTTTTATATTACATATAATAAACAGTGTATAAGGCCCTTTATTCCTATAAATATTTTTTTTCTAATTTTGACATATAGACATTTTTTGTAATCGCAGCAAGTGTTAAAATAATCTAGAAACAGATTTTGTTAGTGAACCTAGTAATAATTATGATACCAAAGAATGCTGCAGAGCACCTATGAAATTTTGAGTTAAAAAGTATGCCATATTTTTAGGCTATTTTTATACCCTTTTCAAAAATTTTATGCTCCTCGTTTTTTGCAAAACTTAAAATGCTCTATAGCTTCGAACAAAGTCAGCAAAGCACCTCTATTTTATAAAGTTTTTTCTGTAAAAACAGCAACACCATATATTTATGCAATTGAAATATTATATTTTTAAAAATACATGGTGCTTGCTAACCTTCGAAAGAAGCCAGCAGAGCAATTCGGTTTTTTAAAGCTTTTTTCTAAAAACCACACCCCATTTTTAGAATATTTTTAGACTCTTGAAATATTGTAAAACTTTACTAAAAAAATTGCTATTTTTAAATTATACAGGGTGCTTTGTTGGAACAAAGTCAGCAGGACACTTCAGTTTTTTAATTTTTTTTTATATATATAAAAACAACTACTTATGACACATGTTTAGGCTGTTTTAAAATCCTAAAAATGTGATAAGTACATTTGTTTTCAGAAAAAAACTTTGAAGTCAGCAATGAATTGTGAATTTTTTATTTTATAATACTCAATAGCCTAAAATGAGACATAGCTGTTTAAACAAAAAATTGTATTTTTAAAAATAGCAATTTTTTTCGAAAAGCTCTATAATATTTCAAAAATGTGAAAATGTGGTGAGATTGTTTTTTTTTAAGTTTTGAAAAACCGAGGTTCTTTACTGGATTCGTTCAGAGCTAGTAAAGCTCTGCTCGTCTTGTTACATAAAATAAAGGCATTTTGTAGCTGGTTATATAGTTATTTTGTAACTGCATATCTAACCCTTTTATTTTTTTCAGTTGGTTGTAAATATGTGGCTTCATAGAAGAAGTGAGGAACCATCTGTAACATCTATTCAGTGTTATTGGAAAGGCTCTAATTTATCAAAATGCGTAAATATTGATGTACACTTGGCTAGATTGTTAAAGAAACCTCTTCATCCACTACAGGAAAATAAATCAGTACTTTTATATTCTTAGGATTTGTATATATATTTTTTATTTGTAAATAAATTGTTTATTACTTCATTTTTCTCATTTTTTATTAAAAGATTAATAAATAAAATTTTCACAGATTTTTATATTTTTGTTTGTAAACAATAATTGAAGAGTTTTTATTAAAAATCACCAATGTTAATAATAATAATTTAAGTCAATATTATTCTTTCTCCTTTTTTAAAGCTACTATCAATAAAGGTATTACTTTAGCTTGACCTATGATCAATTTTTAAATTTTGTGATATATTTGTTTCAACAGAAAAAAAATTATAACCCTTTGACATTGGTTTTTACTTAGATTTTCATAAAAACTAAACGGAACTGCAAACATGTTTTACTATCGTAATAACGAATAGCAACATTAAATTTTTTTTCACATTTATCACTGTTGTCATTTTCATAAAGGATTGATAAGAAGGCACACTTTCTGGTTTTTTGAAAAAGGTAGCAAGAATTGTGATATTTTTAAATTTATCACCAGTGATACCACATGTAGTTACCCGATTTATTGGAATATATAGACTTTGCTACCACATTCAACTGAACTTGGTTGTTTTTAATATTTATCACTGTGACATAGGCGTTTTTGTCAAAATGTTTCATTTTAAACTGCTGTAAATAGGTGCCTTTGTTTTGGTAGTTTTAGTCCCAAAAAAATCTATGCATATACAGGTACTCATTCCTCTTTGATTTGTTCGAAAAGTTAAAATTTTATAAAAAATTACATTGGCTGTTTAAAAACTCATTATAATCCCTGAAATGTGATAATTAGGTAAATTAAATTAAAAAAAAACAAACAAAAAAATTTATTAAATTAATATTTACTCTTACAAAATAGGTTCTTGTAAGTTAACAAGCAATTATGCAGATATTACTAAGTAAATGTACTTGCTTAAAATTGTGCTTAAAATGTGGTTTTAACTTGTTAAATTAACTAACCCTTCTTATAACTCTTTCCACATGTATTCTTAGAGATGCTATTCTTTTACTTAATTGTACATCTTCTGGAGAACTTTTTTCATTCTGTGATACACTAGGTGTGGCTTTACTAAAGTGCATCCCATGTTTTCAAGTAGCTAAATATTCTGAAACCCCTATCTGCCATTATATGGGATCCAGGAACCAGTTTGTTTAAATACCCACATTTTTCTATTATTTCTTTATCACTAGTTCTTCCACAAAATGAAGAATAAATTCGGTATCTTCAAAACTTACAGGAGATTCTGCATTTTCTTCCAGAAGGGTTTTTAGGTTATACACCTAAGAATTTATAGTAGCCTCATTTTCAATTTCCTGAAGGGGACAATTAGCAGAAATTGCTGCTACATCTTGATAATCCGGTGTATTTTTATTAAAAAGTTTACGAGAAACATCGCTAGTAGAAGGTTGATTTTCTTCTTTCCAAATTTCTAGGAACACTAATAAATATTTTTGAAGATGAATGTGAATCATTATCACATTCTGGAACAAAACACTTTCGTAGTCATAATATTTATAAAAAGTACAAAATTAAACACTCAAATTCTAAATAAATTCTTGATCGAGACACTATGATGACATATGCCATACACAGTGCTGCCATTTTGCCATTTTCTGAATTATTAAGTGGCTTTAAAACAATGAAACTTTAAATATGGGAAAAGTTTAAACAGAAATAATACTTTCGAAAAACATTTGATATTATATATTTAAAAGATATTTGTTTAACGATGTTTTAGAAGTCTAAAAGTAAGAAGGAGTACACAAACGAACGTACATCACTTCTCGTAAACCTTCTAGCCGGCAACGTTGTGCGCTAGCTCCTATTGGTCTATTCCCGGTGACGTCATAAATTTTAAAAAAATTCATAACTCCGGCAAATGAATAGATAAAAAAAAATAAAAAAAAATGTAGTTTTATTTTTAACTCTACTATTCATAAAAAAAATTTCAAAATTTTTGAACATGCCCCATTAGCAACTGTAATTTAGTGAAGAGACTATCTGGCCCTCAATACTGACACCTTCAGAAAAATTATTTTTGTTTTAGCTCTGCACCTTTATTTTATTTTTTTTTTTTTTTTCGTTTGATACTCCTAATTTTAGGACGGGAATAATTTACGACTAGTCATTTTTCGGTCTTATAATTACTTTAGGATAGTTTTCTACAGTTTTCACATTTTCTTTTTTTGTAATATTAGCATATGTAGTAATATTTACCTGGTTTTTTCTAGGTTAGCGATTTTTTCATTTAATAACTTAATTTTAATTTTCTGATCTTCAATTATCTTGTTTTATCCTGTATGATATTTTCCAATAATTTTGCATGCTTCAAATTTTTGCAACTGTTACAATTTGTCGTTTTCTTTTTCTAGAATTTTAAAACCCTTAAGCATTCGCAAATTACTAGAATGCAACGAAGACAACCTCAGAGCCAGAAGCTTCAAAGATGCGTGGTTGGTTCAGAAACAAACGGAAAGCTCACATGCCTTAAGCCAATTTAAATCACGAATCGACGTCATAGATTCTATAACGGATTTCGAAGAAAAATGGTTGCAAATAGTGCAAGGTGTATTGGCTGGAAATTTTTTCGATTGGGGCGCCAAAGTTGTTACTGATATTCTGGAAAGTTCAAAGGATTTTGGTTTTCAAGACGCTTCAAAGATTATCCAGAAAAGACCTTGGTATTCAGATAAATTTGACGATTTTGTTAATAAATTAAAGGTAAATATGCAAATTTTATTTTTAATATTAATTATCAAATTTCTTTTATATTTCCTGGTGACAACATATTTTAATAATATGTGCAAAGTTCGAGTTTAGATAAAAATTTAATTAAATATAAGATTTAAATGGTATCTTTATTTGATAATATCTAATAATTTGTTTGTTCAAAATTGTTAAACAATACTATTGTTTGTTCATAATGATTTAGAGCACTGTTTTAAATAATTTATGAAAGAAAAATGTTTGCTGAGATTTGATAATGTATAATAATTGAAGGGCTTATTATAAAAATGTGACAAGCCACAAGCATTTTTTACTTTAAGAAAATAAAAAATAAGGTTACAAACGCCATAAACCAAATGGAAATTTTCTAACAAATACTATCATTAGCCGAAAAAATCAATTTATTGCATTTTAACAAAGTTGTAGCAATTTAAAAAGTTTATTTTATTTTGACCGTATTTCTCAAAATATTTTATTTAATAAAAAGAAACCTTCATCCATTAAACAAATGGGTGAAGGTCGGCCTTACTTCGGATCTTATACTATTATGACATTGGATAGTATTGCACTATAGTCTATTTTTATGTATGAGAGAGTATTAAAATAATAAAGCTTTCCTAATCCATAGGCGTACCACTTCTTTTAGTAGATAGTTAAAATATTTTTTGAAGTTAATCCTCGAGTATACACTTATATTTTCACCTAATTAACCTGCTTATAACTTCTAAACAACTGAAGGTAAAAAAGTGCAATTTTTTCTAAAATGTTTTATTTTTCCACAAGGTATGTTAAGAACATTGTGTCAAACGGGTTATATAGGTATAAGGGTTTAAACTTTGACTTTTAAACAACGTTACGTTCATAAATAATAATTTTAATATAAAAACTACTTCTTACCTACAAATCCAAATCAGAATCGAAATCAGAAGATGAACTGTCGCAACCAATATTTACAATGAGTGGCTCGATCATTTCATCAGTAATATTGTCCAACTTCCACATTTTCTCTTCTTCTTTAATCGTATGATTTACTGCCTTATCCCAGTTTTCAGGCTTCACATTATTTACAGCCTCCAAAAACAACTGTTTAACATCACTCATTTTAAAAGAATTATTTTTTCTTGAAACTTCTCCCTTTATCTGTTCCCATATCAGTTCAATCGGGTTTACTTCGCAATGATATGGTGGTGATCTAACCACCGTCATCCCACGATTTTTTGCAATTTCATCAATTTCATATTTTTTGAATTTCTCTATGAAGGGAACACAAATGATACAGTTCTTTACTCACAGAACCAGGATGGAACTTAATATTCTTTGAATTTAGCCAATTCTGTAAATCTTTTTTTAAACCACTTGGTTGTGGGCATTTTTTTCTATAAGTCTCGAGTGATAACTTGCATTATAGAGAAAGTAAAAGTTAAAAAGTCTTTTGGTAGGTAGAGAGGGGGGTAAACGTCAAACCACGTCGGGCGGCTCCGAGAATTTCGCAGTAATGTTTACCTGCCAGTGTCGTTTCATAGAATAAGTAATTTTAAATTGTTATCGGCGGAACCGGACACACGCATGTATTTATGGATTATAAATAATTATTAAACATGTATTATAATATTCAAATCATAATTTTACAAAATTTCAACAGCTATTCACAATTTATTAAACTATTTACTCGAAATTGTTATTAACATCTATAAAATAATTTTGTACGCCAATGTATCGCGTCCACTTCGGTGAGATCCGCAGCCAACCTGTCAATTTATGTATTATTATTTAAAAAAGCCTGTCTTCGACTTGTAACAGTTTCATCTTGCCAAAATTTATTTGGTTTATGTCCCTCGTTGATCCATGTTTCATCTAAATAAAATATATTTCTTCTTTGGTTTCTCATTTCTTTTTTAGTCCTTAGGTAATTTCTTCTACATACTACAATATCGCTTCTTTCTATTAAAATAGACTTTCTGGAATGCTTTTTCCATAGAAAACCCATTTCTTTTAAAAGTTTCCATAGTGTGCTTCGACTCATTTTAGGGTAATCCTTATCATCTCGAACCGTGGCAAGAACTTTGTCTACTGTCGGAAATTCTTTTCTAAAGAAGAACGCATGCACTTTCCTTCGAAGTCTTTCTTTCAAAAGATTTTCTAATTGAAATTTTGGTTTTCCTGGAGCTTTACGTGCTGTTTGAAACTCGCCACATTTCTCTTCTTTAACAACTCTGTAAATCGTAGATTTCCCAACACCAAGCGTACTACTAATTCCACTGTGTCATCAACACTTTTACATAAATGTTTGTCTGTAAATGATTTAAAACAATTAAATATTAATGTTTTTTCATTAACTGTTAAAGGACCGATTTATTGTCGTTTACGCGGCCCTTCCAAATTTTCCATGATCACACTAGAATTCACACTGCACCTTGCAAGTTGCAAGTAAACAACATTTAGTAAATTGTCAAGAATACACAACTTGGACCTCCTTACTAAATGGAAAACCTATAATCGCATTTTCGGTGAAATTTGTTGGGAAGGTATTTATCTACTTATAATTCGATAACTGTAAGAAATTCTTGGAATTAAAATAAAACAAAATTGGCAAATAGGTACTTATTGAAAATAATCTTGAGATACGGCTATGTAATCTTTAATACACGGGGCTTTTGGCCTGTCCAAACCTTTTTCTATTGTTTTGTACAGCTTATGTTTATAAAGGACCAATAAAAGACCCAAAACTTGTAATAGCTCAGGTACATTTATTACAATTTTAGGAAATATTTAGATTATTCTGTAAAAATATTTAAAATGACCGTACTAAGTTTTGCATTAGAAATGCTGTTTTATTACTCTCTCATACATAAAAATAGACTATAGACTTCTGACAATTTTTTCTCTACTTTCTTATGCTATCTCCGATAATACTGCAAATTTTCAGAGCTGTACCTTATTACTTTTGCGAAAAAAAATTGCATGTTTAACCCCCTGCCCTTACTTTATACTTCCAGGGTGACTTCTGATTGCTATGTTGGTAACAATCGAAAATATAAATAACAAAATTTTGACTTTACCGAGTCACTCCTACTTTTGTGTCGCCGACTCTCTGTCTATATGTGTTACAATCACAGGACTATACAAACAGAAATGTAAGACTTAACTAAAATAATTTACAATCTGCATAACACTTTCTGCTGATTAGAAAATTTAATCCTTTCTAAAAAAGTTAAGGGGTACTTAAATTGATCTTGAATTGTAAATATTTTCTACATCATAAGACGTTTTCCTGAACTGGAATAGAAAAACTAAACTGTCAAAAATTAAAAGAAACGAATTGTGACATTTAATTTCCTATGACAACTGATTAATCACCATTTGATGCAATTACAGAATATTTTAAATTTTTCCAAAAAACTCTAGGACCATATCGTTGGTTTACAAGCAAAACACACTAAGTACTTTTTTTATTTTTGACTTATTTAGATCAGTTGACTGGATTTCTTCCACTCTATAAACTAGTAAAATCCACTATGTCTTCTAACAATTATTACAACCTTATTTTCATATTCGTTAAGTACATATAATTATTTTGTTCAGGAAAATGACATTAAGTGACTAATGGATTTTTAATCAAATCTGACTTAGTGTGTATGTGTTATTTCCCACTAAACTACTACTTTAAACATCGATGGTTAAGAGCACAAATATTGTATGTCCATTTTTGTCGAAAATGGGATAGGTAGGATTCTATATCCTTCATGATTAAATCTTTATGGTTTCCAAATATAGCACGTCCACTTAAATAAGTTTAGCATTCAGCAAAGTAATGCTGATTAAAATTATACAGCTCGTCATAGTCACCTCCAACTTTCAAATCGATTTTACTCAAAACGTAAATTTTGGACATACAACATTTGTACAAAAAAAAGTTGTACATTTTTAGTTTTCCTTTCCAGATCCGACCATACAAAACATGCGTTATATTCGTTGACAACCTAGGAGTCGATTTCATCCTTGGCATCCTTCCCATGGTCAGAGAATTCCTCTCCGAGGGAACCAAGGTTATTTTGACGGCAAACACGTTTCCTGCTTTGAACGATGTGACCTTCCAAGAACTTAATACTTACTGTCATAAGGCTGCAGAGTATTGCAGTATTTTTAAGGACAGTTTAAAAAGCAAACAATTGAGTTTTGTGGAAAACGGACAAAAAGGTCCTTGTTTGGACTTGGCTAATCTTTCGGCTGGTATGTTGTATTATGATTTGACAAGAATTAAAGATAACACAATTTATTTCAATTTAACTTTTACAATAACTATACAACTGATAACATTAACGTTTAACATCTATCATAAAACTGATCACTGACATCAGGCCCATTCACTTATATAGCTTCTCGAACTGTCCAGATTGTTCTTGACATAAACTGACATTTCTCGAATATTCCCCCTTCTTCTTTTACTCATACTTTTATTTTAATGATTCAGACTAGGTATATGTCCAAAATGTTTTATTCTTGTCAGTACTCTTTCATCATTTTAAAGTTATTTCTACAAATCATTGATTGAGAAGAATATTATCTTAAGATATTTTTATTAAACTCAAACAAATAATGATTGAGAGTGAAAGCAGGTAGAAATACGACCAAATCGGAGGCGTGCTTATTATTTTTGAGAGGGTACAATTATTTAAAATATTCATACAATTTCTTTTATTTATTTCATGAAAACTTTGCAATATCGTAATTTACCTAATCGTTGTAGTCATTAGTGGGGCTTTATGAAAACGGAGTAATAATTGTGGTAATTATAGTAGGAACCAAATAAATTAAGAATATTAATAAAAATCACAATATATATTTCAAATTAAAAATAAGAAAGATACCTAATCAGGGGTTGGTTTGGTGACAGAAACAATATTATCAATTTTACTATTTTAATAATGAATTTAACTTTATTTCACAAATTAACGTATATTTATATATTATGTCGCGGCCGAAGTCAGTAAAGAACTGTCTCTTAAGTTTCTTCTTGGGTTACACATACAGAAGTATTACTTAAATTTTAAATTAAAATCATAATGACGGATATTGCATATCCAATGCAATTGATATTTTTATTTTGTTTTGTTTAGTTATTTTTAAATTTTTATATTTTTTAATCTTTTTATATTATATTTAGTTTTTAATTTACTTCGCTTTGTCTATAAAATTTTTGTAATTTTTTAATGACAATAAAGCATACCTCTATATATATCTCTCTCTCTCCCGGTTTACCTGCAGTTCCTCGAAACTAGCCAGCCTTACCCAAGAAACCCTAATTGGGTTCGGCCAACATTAAAAGACATTATAAAGCTTAAATTACTATTTGATTGGTACTTAAATCATAAAAGTTTACACGCACCTATCATTTCGGAAATCCCTAAGTAAGATAATTAGTTTGGATATAACCTACAGGATTATGTTTTCTTGACCGCCAAACATAATAATAATAATATTTATTTCAAATTTATGTAACAATGTACAAATTGATACAATAATAATAATTAAATAAATAAACATTTGTATCCTGCTGAGACATTGTTCATGTCTGTGTAAGGAATTAAAAATACAAATTTATATAATAATTTCTAAATGGTAATAGTGAATGGTAAAAATAAAAATTATACCTAAATATATAGACTTCTTTTTGTGTACAAATTTTCTTCTAATCTTCAACCTCAGATTCGTCACTGCTGCTACCGCTATCATCAAAGTTAATTATGATTGGTTCAATATTGTGTTCAATACGGTTGTCTACGTCCCACATTTTTTGCTCTTCTTTTAAAACATGCTGAATGCATTTCTTCCAGTCTTCTGCAGAAACATTTTGAATGGCTTCTTGTAGGTAACGTTGCACGTCCACTAATTTAAATGTTCTGTTTTCTCGTGCCACATATCCTTTTACTTGCGCCCAGATTAATTCTATTGGGTTTAATTCGCAGTGGTACGGTGGTAACCTTAATACTGTAATTCCACGACTTAACGCCATTTCATCCACTGCGAATTTTTTATATTTGTCTATGTGTAATTTTGTTAACTGAAGTAGTTCTGCCTTTAAACTATCTTTTTTATATTGGATGTTTTTATTAATTAACCATTCTTGAATTGCTCGTTTTTTTCCATTTTTTGCATAGTTTTAGAACGGTGTAGAAATATTATTTAATGTTTAAACACTTATTAGCACTAATATTTTCACCAATTGTTCTTACAACACGTCGATTACTTACTAACTTAACTGTAAAACTTACAATTCACACCGTATATTTCAAAACCCGATGTTACGCTCGTGGTTAGAAATACACTACTGAGAACGTCATCGACGAGATGGATTTTACGCGTAACAGACAAAGACATAAATATCGCTCCGTACACCGATGCCATTAGTTGTAACAAATACTGAACAATCCATAAAATAATTAATTTTAAATGATCAAGAAATGTATAAGTATTACTCATTACTGATTTTTGTTATAATTAATATCTTTTATTAGTACTATGATTGTATATTATCTATAATTTGCCACAACTTACAACTCTACTACTTACTCTATTTTGATTCTGCTAAAAACTAGTAAGGTAAAATTGAGATATGACAACACGGTTCACTCTCAATCATTATTTGTTTGAGTATAGTTTTGAGTATTGTGCATTTAAAAATTTCCCTATAATGAAGATAATTGTAGGCAATTTCTATTCCGCATACAACTTCTTAGGACATTGGATAGTATTGCACAAGCTCTAGAATTAAATGACTCAAGACATTATGTCAATATTTAAAAAAAAGATGATATTTTAAATTTAAACAAAAGATTGGTATTTGTTGTCTCTGAAACGAAAATCTTGATTTTCATGTTGTTTTTTTTTATATTTAATTGTTATTATCTTTTAGATTTGTGCGAGTGTATGAAGACGGTCGATTTGGTAATAATTGAGGGTATGGCGCGCGCCGTTCACACGAATTTGTACACGAAACTGACAGTTGACTGTCTGAAATTGGCTGTGCTGAAGAACGAGTGGTTGGCCCGAAATTTGGGCACTGAAAAGTTTTCAGTTATTTGTGATTTCGACTCCGAGACTTGAATAATGGTGTACCTGATAAATATATACTTTATTATTTTAAAAGTTACTTGTTTCATTCTATAACCTTACCCGTTTTAAGCAGTCAAAAAATAAGTACTGGAAATCGCTGTGACTGCTGTCAAAATATTACAAAAATATCATTCTTGAGAGGTAAAGGAGTGAGCAGGAAAATTCTATTTTGAGCTCACTAATACATGGTGTAGTATATCTCTGGTAAGATCTCGATGAGCTAAGCTTAAAAAAAAAACTTTTATGGAACTACACTATGTCGACATAGTGCAATTTACCTCCGAGGTACAGATTTTTAAGTTAAAATAAACCCTATAAAACATGTGCAATGTATCAATGTTATCACTTTTTGGCTATTTAAATTTCTCCTCAAGAATACGTTCTAAAAAGAATTATCACAACCAGTTGTCTACAATTTCCATACTAATATTTAAATGTGGGAGGTAGAGTGTCATTTCTGAGCAACTTTTTTTTCAACTAAAAAACAGGCTAACAACTATCAGGAAGGTGTGAAAAAAGCCCTTAAAAATTTGAGCTCTTAATATTGATATTTAGTAGTGCCTGTTACCAAACTTTCCATTTTCCATCTAAATAACATGGAAAAATTTTCTTCTTTTTTCTTATTTCTGTAGCTTGACATTTGAGTGTTAGTGACATTATCAATATTTTAAATTGTTTTTCATTTTTAAAGATGAAGATGTTATATTTTAATTCAATTGTTTTGTATGTAGGTAAATTGCTTTCATAAGTAAAAGGAAAAAAAAGTCTTGTTGAAATTAATTGTTAGTTGTTCATGGTTAAACTAATACATTATATATTTAATATCTGTTTCTACTTTTTGTTTTAAATTGTTCCATGTTTCAGCTTAAAATATTATTGCTAATGATTTGTTCCTGTGAATGAATAGAAAATAAATCGTTTATATATAATGAAAAAAGAGTAGGTCCAAGTATAGTTCCCTGAGGCACTCCAAATTTTATTTCTAGCTTAATTTTAACGACTTGCTGACGATCAAAAAGATAATTTTCAAATAGATCTAACGTTTTACCCCCAAGACATCTAATGTATACATATAAGTACTTATATGACTGACAGTGTCAAATGCATTGGGTAGGTCAAGGTATACACATCAACATAGTTTTTTCTTATCTACTGATATATAAATCTTTTTGGTCAGTACTGCAATGGCGTCGTTAGTGGATAAACCTGTTCGAAAGCCAAACTGAGACTGGGAAATAATGTCATAATTTTTAAGAAAATCAGTTAATCTTTTATTTAAAATTTTTTCAAATATCTTTGCATAGGAAGTTATTATAGTAAATATCTCGAATACGGTTCATTTTAGAGAAATTATGTATGGGATAATAATTATAGAGAATTTTATCAAAAACAACTTTTATTTGAATAATTTTCCTAAAAATTCAAATGTTTTACATTTTGTAAAATTTCTCGAATACGGGCCATTTTAGAAAAAATTTGTATAGGACAAAAATTATAGATAATAATATTAGAAATAACTTTTATTTAAAGTATTTTCTTCTCCAAACATAAATAACAGATATATTCCATAAAATATAAAAAAAATCCTCTATAAAGTATCCCCAGATGTTCCGACTCTGCCCAAAATCTAATCAGTTCACCTTAGGACGGAATAAAGCTACAGTTCATCAAATTTCTAGAGGCTTTCGACGGCTAGACAGAGAAAGCACTACTGAGAGGCATCGGTTGGCGGGGCCGACGGATTTACGCAATGAAAGTACACTCTGCGCATCAAGTATTTCACTATTTTATTCAGACGTAAATGTCAGATGTAAATTTCGCTAAAACATTTCTTTTATTTTCGTTTGTTTTTTGCTCATTACAGTTTAATAGAACCTAAGTATGGAGTTTAATAGCAAATTAAGAGGCCGCGTGATTAACAGTCAATCTCGCGAAATAATAGCCAATGTTATAGAGTTTATGAGAAGAGAAGGAAACTTTAATTCACCTTCAATGCCATTTAAAAATGTAAATGATCGTGTTGCTGCAGCCACAGGAGTATCTAAAAACACTGTCGTCCGCATTTCTGGAGAGAAAAAAAGAATCGATAACCGTGAGATATCGGAATTTTCATCACCAAGAAAAACCATTAAAAAACCAAAAACAGTTAATGATATAGATGAAGCTGACAAAGGTATTTTAAAAAGAATTATTCTGTTCATGTTAATCTCGGAAAATATTGTTCCAACATTAAAAACAATTCTGACTAAATTTAGAGAAGCTACAGGGTACAAAGGAAGCTATGAAAGTTTAAGAAAAATAATAAAGTCGCTAGGATTTCGTTGGCGGAAAACAAAAACAAACAGAAAAATATTAATGGAAAGGTTTGATATTCAAAAGCTACGTTTAGACTATCTGATTCGTTTAAAAAGTTATCGAGCAGAGGGCCGTCCAATTGTCTACTTAGATGAAATATACATTCATGCCTCCCACACACACCAGAAAGCTTGGAGTGATAATTCAAATGAGGGATTAAAGAAACCAATTAATAAAGGTAATAGACTAATTATTGTCCATGCAGGAGGTGAAATGGGCTTTATTCCGAATGCCCGGTTAATTTTCAAATCTGGAACCAAAAGTGGAGACTACCACGATGAAATGAATTTTAATAATTTTTCTAAATGGATGAAAGAAAAGCTGTTTCCGAACCTCCCTCCAAGAAGCGTCATTATTGTTGATAATGCTCCTTACCATAATGTCCAGGTAAATAAAGCACCAACGTCAACTTCTAAAAAAGCTGACATGCAGGATTGGTTAAGGAATCATAATATTGCTTATGAAGAGGATATGCTCAAAACGCAATTATACAGTTTAGTGATATTGCATAAGTCACGATTTAAGAGGTATGCAATTGAAGAAATGATAAATGAACATGGTTTTAGTTGTTTGCGTTTGCCACCGTATCATCCCGATCTTAATCCGATCGAATTAGTGTGGGCATCATTGAAACAATATGTAGCTAGTAACAACACTACATTTAAGAGGCAAGACGTACAACTGTTGTGTGAAGACTTTTTTGATACGTTTTCTAAAGAGGAGTGGCAATCTCGTTGTAATAATGATAAAATGTGGGAATCTAAATTTTATGACAGAGAAGTTACTTTGGATGAGGCAACTGATAGATTTATAATTAACTTAAACAGTGACAGTGAGACTGATTTTGAATCTGATATGGAAACTGAAGAAAGTTTTTCGGAAGACCATTAAAATTATATCTCTACCTAAGATCAAAAAACTATTATCTATTTTTACAACGAAGATGCACAAGAATCAAATTTTATTTTTTTATTATTAGATAGCTATTTTTGTTTCTGAGTTGTGTTCATTTACAGGCTCAATTTTTTTCCGTTTCTCCTTTTTGATTTTATATGGGGTTTCAAGTTGTTTTTGACTTATTTCGACCTAAATCACAACAACACACTTTTTTAATAAAGCAAACAAGTGTTAAGAGGTATATGTACGTGTAAACTACAATTACAAAAAATTGATATGAAACCCATGAAACCACCAACAAAAATGTAAAGCTAGCTTCCGTACTAGAACATGGTGTCATTCGTCGAGATAATTTATCGTTTTGTTTAATAGATCAAGAAATGTAAATATTCCCCTGTTATTTTTTATAAAATTATAAGAGAAATAATTTTTTTTCTAAATAGTATAGTTTATTATTTTGTAGAAAAACAAAATTTCGAAAATTTTAGTAATGTTTCAGAAACAACCGTTATTAATAATAGGTACCATTTTCCTTAATAAGGTAGAAATAAAATATAAACTATTTCCACGATTTACAAAGGCCTACAAAAACATTATAGGTATTTTCCGCTATCCTATAAAATTTATATTTTCTGACTCAATTTCAAAAGGTTGAAGGAATTCCAAAACACCTTTTATGGCATAATAATTATTTTCAATTCTACATACTATCTTTAGCTGCTTTTAAAAACGTTCTAAGAAAGTCCAATCAGACCAATTTAATCCCTAAACTATTCCACACTTTTAAAATTTAATTACCTAAAAATATTAAAAACTATTTAAAATAACTTGTTTAGCAGACTGTACAATAGCTATCTTAGTCACACGTAGCGCGTTCTCTGTCTGGGCGTCGAACACCTCTAGAAATTTGATGAACTGTAGTTTAACAACGAAACATTTATTTAAAAAAATTCAACAACTATCCTTCGAAGTACTCTCCATTCTGTTGAATACACTTATTCCATCGCTTTATCCACTTATCATAAACTTCTGAGAAACCATTTTTTGATAGTCTGTTTAGTATACCCATCACAGCGTTGTTGAGCTCTAAATCCGACTCAAATCTTCTACTTCTCAATTCTTTTTTGACTTCAGGAAACAAATGGAAGTCACATGGAGCAAGGTCAGGAGAGTAGGGGGGATGAACCACAATTTCAACCCCTAATTCTTCAATTGTTCGTTGACAAATCATTGATCTATGAGCCGGAGCATTGTCGTGATGCAGCGTCCAGCCAAAGTCCTGATAAAGCGGCCTTTTTTTCTTTAATTTTGCCTTTAAGGGTCCTCGAAGTACATTAGAATAGTACTCCCCTGTTACTGTATGTCCTCTAGGTACAATGTGATCGTAAATAACGCCAAATTTATCAAAAAAAATCAGGTGCAGACTGTACAATAGCTATCTTAGTCACACGTAGCGCGTTCTCTGTCTGGGCGTCGAACACCTCTAGAAATTTGATGAACTGTAATGTTTAAAAGGACCCCGCACTTTTTAGGGGCAAGTTTCTTATGGACCTCAAGTAGGCAGCTCTACAGGGTGAGTTGTTAGAACGATTCAAAAGTAAGGAGTGCAGAATTAATATTTTCAAATATATATCTACCACTCTTTAGTAATTCTTGTTTTTTCCATGAAACTTATGTCATGTGTTACACTTATATATAGTTTGTTCATGTTCATTACTTACACTTTGCAAAATAAATTATACAGAGTGTTAAAAAAATTAAGAATATCAGTTTCTGAAATATGGTGCATTTTACATGTATTGCCATAGTTAGAATATGAATTCTGACTGTTTTTTTGTTTCATTTTATATCAGATAATTTTTATAAGTAATACAAGGTGTGATAGCACTATATAAACAACTAAAAATGCATTTAACGAAAAATTGGTATACCTAAAATATTGTAGAAAGTCTTGAAACGAATTTAGTTTTGCTTGTATTATAATCACAGCTCTGTTTATCTAAGCAAGTCCCATTTTTACTACATAAACTAAACTACTTAAACGTAGAAATAATTCTACTAACTCTGACTTGAATGAATGACTTAGAAGACATTTTAATTGAAAAGCCTTTTCTGATTACACTACAGATGTCAGCTTATCACTTCTGAATTTAATTCTATTTTTGAGAATTTAGGTTAATTTTAGTTAAATTAAAACAGAAAAAAACTTCTACAGTTTTTTCAGTAGTAATTTATTTAAAAACTTCATGATATGAATACTCATGGTATTTAATCCTGACCAATTCTGATTGTTTATCTATTCCTCACTACTATATACTTTAAATAATTACAAAATGATTCTACAAGATTAAAGGTTGACGAGTGTTAGACTAAATAACAGCTAAATTATCATTAGGGTTAACACTTTGCAATTTCAGACTACATTTGCTGCGTTTCTTTATCCAGATAGGATGCATCTGAGATGTTGTGAATCTTTGATCACGTGAGTCAAGGTAGGTAAATTAGTTGGAGCAGATGCGTTTAATGTGGATAAACAAATGTTCGACAGGTAAAAAATCGTAATTGGATATTTAAACGTAGCAATTCTATTTTACACTGTATTTTTTCTTCTTCTTTTTTTAGGCTATTTCAAAAGTTTGTTATTAGGAATTTTTTGATAGTAGGTAGTTTATTTTTGTTAGAAAACTTTCTATGTGACGTGCCTTCGTTTTTTTTTGCATTATATTTCAGATTTGCGAACAATGTGAAGCACACTTTATTTATAGAGTCTAAAAAAATTCAAGAGAATCCCCATTACTAGATATTACTGTGCCTACATGTAAGACTGATTCAAGAACTACATGGATGTGTGCTCATATTTCAAGTGTTTTGAAGTAGGTACCTGGAATACGCACGATTCGAAAATTATATAAAGTACTCTATAAGTGTTTTATTAATGACTATTTTAAATGCTGTTGAAAGATGAGTAAGATTTTGAAGGTGTGTAAATAGTTAATATATTTAATAAAACATGTTTTTAGAAATGTAGTTTTTTTATATGGATTTATAAGTCTAACAATCTATGTAAAGAAACTGTAATATTTTTGTATTAAATATTATTCTATCACACCCTGTATTATAAATAAATAGTATTTAGTAATTTATATAACAAATAAGTGATCAGAGGGCATGTTCTAATTATGGTAATACATGAAAATGCACCTTATTTCAGTAATTAATATTCCTATTTTTTGAACACTCTGTATGATTTATTTTACAAAGTGAAAGTAAGTAATTACAAGCCATATACAATTGTAACGCATGCCATAAGTTTCATGAAAAAAACATGAATTATTTAGGAGTGGTAAAGATATATATGAAAATATTAATTATGCACTCCTTACTTTTGACTCAGTCTGACAGCTCACCCTGTAGAGCTGCAAACTTGATGTCCATAAAAAAGTTTATCATTATGACATGAAAAGTAACATACCAAAATTTTAACCAATTCTGTCAGTACCCAAAATCAATGTAAAAAGTGCGGGGTCCTATAATATTTTTCTCTTTAAGCGTTTTGGAGTTTTCTTCAAAATTCGAAATTTACACATTTTCTCAAATATCTCGAATACGATCCATTTTACAAAAATTATGTATAAAACAAGAATTATAGGAAATTTTATCAGAAACAACTTTTATGTGAACAATTTTCCTAAAAATTAAATTTTTTTACATTTAGTAAGATTTCTCGAATACGGACCATTTTAGAAAAATTTTGTATATGACAAAAATTATAGATAATAATATTAGAAATAACTTTTATTTGAAGTATTTTCTTCTCCAAACGTAAATAACAGATATATTCTTTAAAATATAAAAATTACCCTTTATAAAGTACCCCTCAGATGTTCCGACTCTGCCCAAAATCTAATCAGTTCAACGCAGGCCAGAATAAAGCTTAAGTATAAAATTTGGTGTTTTTCTTTATCCGTTCACAGACATCATCGCGAAAATAGTCAAAACGGATTCAGGGGACCCCTAAACGTAAAAATTCGTCGAAAACTCGAGGTATATAAGTAAAAATTACATTAGTGTACACTCATTAAAAAAGTATATTCTTTTTGAAGATACGGAGGTCTACATTTACCCCCGTCTACACTTATCCCACCTACCCCTACTATTTTTGTATTGATATAATGGGAAAAGCTAGAACAATTCAAATATAAAATAAAATATTTAAAATACCTACCTAATTTTGATATTTATGTATTACTTTCCTGAAAAACCCTGTATAATTGAAATCATTTTTAAATTGTTGTCTTTTCTGATGTTTTCGGTACAAAAAAAGCAATTAGTTTTGACCCACCCTGTATATTTTTGTATCCGACCTGTGGAACTTTTCTTTATTTGAATTTAATGTAAATCGAAAGGTTCAATGCATGTCCACATTTTTTTCCAAAAGCACCTAATTTTGAATGCAAACCATGTTCTTTAATATATTTTACATCGTCCTATCCAAAAACCCGATTTATTTCACAAATAGTAACATTAAATATAATATAACAAAAAATATTGTTCGGTTTCAAATTACCTAAGACGGACCTGTGCTTTTTTAAACATTCGCGCCGTTATAGTTTATGTTTAACCCCGAATCGGAGCTTCTCGTGACAGTTCGTTACCCACTTCGTGCTTCCTTCCCAGAATTATGTCGATTCAGATTGATTTTAAAAACTTTTAATTTTAAACCGTTTTTGAACAAAAATTGATAATGTATTCCGTATATAGTTTGTAGTAAATGCTTTGATTATTCGTATTAGTTCAATTATAGCCCTTCGATTTCATTTATCGTGTCTCAAAACCCAAATAAATACCGGCGTTGTTTCACGATATCAAACAAATATACTAACAGAAGTTATATCTCAGTAAATTAACTTAAATATACTTACATAACGTTGAAAATATCCAAATCTGCATAACAGGGTAGACCGGTGACTTGTAATAAAGAAAATTTCTGTTATATTCCATACATGATCGAAATAGGAGGTGTAGTACATTATCACAACTAAGTTATAAGCACACAAACACACATTTCTTATTTAATAACACGCTTGTTAAATTAACACCAACATAAAACGATTGTAGACGAAAATTATACCAAAAATTACAAAGATTTCTTTAAAAAAACACCTGTTTAGTTTAGAAATGCACGCGAAATGTTTCTTATACCTCCCCTCGATTGGCATTGTGCGAAGATAGGGGAATTAGTTATAAGAGATGGCGACTTTTAGGATTTCGACCAATGAAAGCTCGTCGTTTGGATCACGGACCATTCGAAGAGAAAACAAACGAGCATCAATTTGAATTTAGGCGCTTTCAATGGGATTTTCATTTGACAGTGACTACTGTGACTAAGTACGTAATTTTAATGAAGAAAATTTACAATAAGTTTTATTTTATTGTGTTTTGAAAAACATACAGGGTGGTCACTTTTTAATGAAATCGTTAGATATACAAAGTTTGTTAAATAAGGCAGATTTACATTTTTTATATAACAAAAATCGTGAAGGGTACTCAATTGGTAGGTATCTATTTTTCTTCATTTATAAAAGTCATTTAGGTATTTTTTATAACTAGGTATCAGAACCTCCTAAGTTAGAGTGATTTTACAGGAGACGAAAAACATTTAGATGAAATACGAAAATAGAGAGTATTAAAAACTGCTCTAGCTGATGGATACAAAGAAAAACACCAAATTTTAAACTTAAGCTTTATTTTGGCCTCCAGTGAACTGATTAGATTTTGGGCAGAGTCGGAACATCTGGAGGGGTATTTTATGGGTGGTCATTTTTATATTTTATAAAATATATCTGTTATTTACGTTTGGAGAAGAATATTCTTCAAATAAAAGTTATTTATAATATTATCTAAAATTATTGTTTTATACAAAATTTTATTAAATGGTCCGTATTCGAGAAATTTTACAAAATGTAAAAAAATAATTTTTTATAAAAATTATTCAAATATAAGTTTTTTGTATTATAATTTTTTAGAATTTTTATTCTATACATAATTTCTCTAAAATGGACCGTAAAAGATGTTTGCGATATCGATCTGTATAATTTCTGTTTTTTACATGATTTCTCTAAAATGGACCGTAATAGAAAAATTGGAGGAAAAGTATAAAATTTAATTTTTTCAGCATTTTCGTTGGTAATGAGTGTATCTGTAAAGTGTGGAAGGTGGGTTACCCCACGGCACTTAGGCCTCATTAGGCCCATTGTGCATCCTCCTAAGATGATAGGCACCTCCTAACTCGTGAGCCAGCCTACAAGATTTAATGTAGTTGACAACGTCGCCAAGAGGTGCTTCTCTTATACCGGCCGGTGTTTAACTGATACTCGGCGAACACAAATCTTTTAATAAATGAGAGCGTCGAGCAATCGTAAAGGATATACTCGATGGACTCATCTTCTTGTTCGCACCATTTGCAGGGTGGGGATTCTGACAGCTCCATGATATGGAGATGCTTTCGTACTTAGCAATGACCAGTCAAAATGCCTGTGACTAGGCGCAGATTCTGTCTAGTCATAGTCAAGTATTTGTTTGCTGCAGTGTTGTCAGGATAACTTAAGAGATTCCTGGCAACTCTGCAGTTTTTTGTTTCAATGAGTGTATATAGAAAACATTTCGAGTTAGATGTATGTGGAATATATATATATATATATATATTTACATCCCGCAGCAATATTGCGTCCTTTCATAACCCATACATTTTGCATCTCTGGAAACAGTGTGTTTAGAATAGATTTCATCGAGTATATTGAAACTACTAAAAATTAATTGTCTCAAAATATGTTTTTTATGACCATATCGTTAAAAAATTATATACGTTTTTTTTTTATTTTCCGACCACTTTGACTCCTTTTATATTAATATCTATCTTGCATCCGTATATTACTATTTTACGTCCAAAAGAATATTTTTGTTTCATTTAACATATTAATTTACGTCCAACAGTGTTGCCAATATTTGCCAATTTATTTCGAAACCAACCATAAGAATAGTTTAAATATATAAAATTATTTGTTCTGATTGACTGACTGACCCATGAATCTTACCGCCAAAACTTCTAGGTCTAGGAAGCTAAAATTTATAAGATAGGTTTTTTTTATAACGTATGCAAAAAAGAATTTTCAAAAATTTTAATTCTAATGGAGGGAAATGGGGAGCAAGCTTTGTATCTCTTTGTTGTTTGAAGTTAGACACATAAAAGTTTGAAATACAGTTACTGAGCGTAAATAAATAATAACATGTTTTAGGGTTTTAGGATGTTCACATTTAAAGGGGAGAAAACGGGGAAGTGAACGCTTGTAGCGTTTTTGAATTTTCATATTTTAAGGCGGGAAACAAGTGGGAACAGGGGATGAAAGTTTGTATGCGAGTATCGATTTTTTAAAGGTAGGAATTTAAAAATTGGAATTATAGCTACACATCATAAATAAATAGGTAATGAATTGTTTAAGTGTTAAGGATTTTCACATTATAAAGTGGGGAAATGGGAGTTCAAAGTTTTTATTAAATATTGGATTTTTAAACATAGCAACTTAAAAATTGGAATTGTACATAAATAATGACTTGCTTCCGGGTGTTTGGATTTTCACATTTTAAAGAGGGGAGAACGGGGGTAAAGTTTAGTATGAGGTATTGGTTTTTTAAATATAAGAACTTGAAAATTGGAAGTGTAGTTACTCATCTTAAGTAAATAATGACGTATTTGAGGGATTTTATATTTTCACATTTAAAGGGTGAGAAACGGGGGGTGGGGTGAAAGTTTTTATGGAAGTATCTTATTTCCAAAGGTAGAAATTGCAGCTAAATAAATAATGATATATTTTCGGGTGTTTGGATTTTCATATTTTAAGGGTGGAGAAACAGGGAGTAAAATTTTTTATGAAGAAAGAAATAAAAATACTCAAAAATATATAAAAATAAATAAAATTAAATTAAAAAAATAAATATAAATAAAAATAAATCAAAATAAATCAAAATAAATAAAATAAAATAAAATTAAATAAAAATAAATAAAAATAAATAAATAAAAATAAATAAAAATAAATAAAAATAAATAAAAATAAATAAAAATAAATAAAAATAAATAAAAATAAATAAAAATAAATAAAAATAAATAAAAATAAATAAAAATAAATAAAAATAAATAAAAATAAATAAAAATAAATAAAAATAAATAAAAATAAATAAAAATAAATAAAAATAAATAAAAATAAATAAAAATAAATAAAAATAAATAAAAATAAATAAAAATAAATAAAAATAAATAAAAATAAATAAAAATAAATAAAAATAAATAAAAATAAATAAAAATAAATAAAAATAAATAAAAATAAATAAAAATAAATAAAAATAAATAAAAATAAATAAAAATAAATAAAAATAAATAAAAATAAATAAAAATAAATAAAAATAAATAAAAATAAATAAAAATAAATAAAAATAAATAAAAATAAATAAAAATAAATAAAAATAAATAAAAATAAATAAAAATTAATAAAAATAAATAAAAATAAATAAAAATAAATAAAAATAAATAAAAATAAATAAAAATAAATAAAAATAAATAAAAATAAATAAAAATAAATAAAAATAAATAAAAATAAATAAAAATAAATAAAAATAAATAAAAATAAATAAAAATAAATAAAAATAAATAAAAATAAATAAAAATAAATAAAAATAAATAAAAATAAATAAAAATAAATAAAAAATAAATAAAAATAAATAAAAATAAATAAAAATAAATAAAAATAAATAAAAATAAATAAAAATAAAAATAAATAAATAAAAATATATAAAATTAAATAGATAAATAATCATAGTTATCAATCAAAATCATCAATTATAATCATCAATCATAATCATCAATAATAATCATAATCATCAATCATCAATCATAATCATAATCATAATCATAATCATAATCATAATCATAATCATAATCATAATCATAATCATAATCATAATCATAATCATAATCATAATCATAATCATAATCATAATCATAATCATAATCATTAATCATAATAATCAATCATAATTCATCAAGCATAATCATTAATAATATTCTTTAATCATAATCTGCAATTTTAATCATCAATCTTAATCATCAACCACAATCGTCAACCATAATCATCAACCATAATCATCAACCATAATCATCAACCATAATCGTCAATCATAATCGTCAATAGTAATCATCAATCATAACCATCAATCATAATCATCAATCACAATCATCAATCATAATTATCAATCATAATCATCAATCATAATCATCAATCATAATCATCAATCATAATCATCAATCATAATCATCAATCATAATCATCAATCATAATCATCAATCATAATCATCAATCATAATCATCAATCATAATCATCAATCATAATCATCAATAATAATAATAATAATCAATCATAATTCATCTAGCATAATCATTAATCATATTCTTCAGTCATAATCTGCAATTTTAATCATCAATCTTAATCATCAACCACAATCATCAACCATAATCATCAAACATAATCATCAACCATAATCATCAACCATAATCGTCAATCATAATCGTCAATTATAATCGTAGATCATAATCGTCAATTACAATCTTCAATCATAATCATCAATCATATTCATCAATCATAATCATCAATCATAATTATCAATCATAATTATCAATCATAATCATCAATCATAAATATCAATCTTAATCATCATTCTCAATCATGAATCCTAATCATCAATTATAATCATTAATCATCAATCATATATATCAGTCATAATCATCAATCATAAATATCAATCATAATCATATTGGTATAATATTAATAATATTTTTCTTACAATATGTAAATCAATATTAAATCAGATTTTTTAAAACCATAACTAAAATTATGTTAAAGGAATTATAATATATCTATTAAATTCAAATAACCTCTAGTAACTGCCCCCAAATTTCTTATAACTAAAATTTAATTTAGTACTATCCAATATTTAATCAAACAATTAAAATTATTTTGAAATAATTATAATTTACGTATAGCCCAATCGGATTAGGTGAAGAACAGGCTTGAGATTCTGAAAAATTCGAAGCAGCAATTTTCCTTCGGAATTCGTTGGAGGGGGTCTGTGGTAGTCTAAATTCAAAAAGTTGGGATTCTAAAGTTGTCGTTACCTCCGCCAGCTTGATTTAAAGGGTTATTTTTTGTATCTTGAATAACTCATTTATTTTCAATTTTACACGGAAAATAGTTTTTATAAAAGTTATTTAAAATTAAATTTCCTACAATTCTGCTTTTTTTTGTACGATCGATTTTTTTCGATTTATACCCGAAAAGAGGGGGTGAATTTTTGGTTATAGAATAACTCGTTTATTTTCAATTTTACGAGAAAAATTGTTATAAACAAAGTTGTTTAAAATTAAATTTCCTACAATTCTGTTTTTTTTTGTACGCTCGATTTTTTTGTATTTATCCCTGTGAAGAGTGGGGGTAAACTCTTATCATTGTATTATCATGTTTCTTTTTAATTCCAGGTATCAGCAAAAAAAACAAACAGAAAAAATAATGGTACAACATCAATAATAAACGTGACAATACAATACTTAGGTTCACCCCCACTCTTCTCAGGGATAAATACAAAAAAATCGATCGTACAAAAAAAAAACAGAATTGTAGGAAATTTAATTTTAAACAACTTTGTTTATAACAATTTTTCTCGTAAAATTGAAAATAAACGAGTTATTCTATAACCAAAAATTCACCCCCTCTTTTCGGGTATAAATCGAAAAAAATCGATCGTACAAAAAAAAAGCAGAATTGTAGGAAATTTAATTTTAAACAACTTTGTTTATAACAATTTTTCTCGTAAAATTGAAAATAAACGAGTTATTCTATAACCAAAAATTCACCCCCTCTTTTCGGGTATAAATCGAAAAAAATCGATCGTACAAAAAAAAGCAGAATTGTAGGAAATTTAATTTTAAACAACTTTGTTTATAACAATTTTTCTCGTAAAATTGAAAATAAACGAGTTATTCTATAACCAAAAATTCACCCCCTCTTTTCGGGTATAAATCGAAAAAAATCGATCGTACAAAAAAAAGCAGAATTGTAGGAAATTTAATTTTAAATAACTTTTGTAAAAACTATTTTCCGTGTAAAATTGAAAATAAATGAGTTATTCAAGATACAAAAAATAACCCTTTAAATCAAGATGGCGGAGGTAACGACAACTTTGGAATCCCAACTTTTTGAATTTAGACTACCAGAGACCCCCTTCAACGAATTCCGAAGGAAAATTGCTGCTTCGAATTTTTCAGAATCTAAAATACTAATCCGATTGGGCTAGTAATAAATTTTAAAAACCTAAGATATTTGCCAAAAACTTCTTATAATCAAAACCCAAAAACAATTATTTTAAAATAATTATTTATATATAATCCATTAAATTAAAATAACCTAAAGTAATTTCCGCAAATGTTTTTACAGAAAAAATATTTAATTTAGAAATCCCTAACTTCACTCAAACCCTTAGAATCCTAACTAATATAACAAAAAATATAAACTCCAACATCCACGCACTTAACAATGCTCTTTACAGTGATTTGGTTTTACACTTTACAGTGTTGCCGCTAGTTGGAGTCAAAATAGTGAGTGAAATGAAAGGATAATATACATTATGTATATTATTTAGCGCCTCTAACGGTAATCTCACAAACTAAATTTTGTATATTTTCTTTCATATCTGGCACTAAATTGCGTCCATTAAATACATTATAACTGCCATCTTGTATTGGTTAGCTTTAAATAAGAGTTAAATATAGAAACCCAACCACAAAACAAACTTATCTCTGTAAAATTGATTTAATTCCGTGCTTTTATAAGGCGGGAAAAGCCGAAAACTATTTTGCGTCCGATATTCGGACGTAAAATAGTCATGGAAGCAAAATGTAACGTACTGTGCATGTTATCGGACGCAAAATACTGCTAAGGATATATATATATATATATATATATATATATATATATATATATATATATATATATATATATATATTAACTTAACCTCTAAATATATTTACAGAGGTGCTACAATAGGTTGTACAAAATAACCGAAAAAAGCTTGTAATAATTAGATTAGAAAGTCATATGTTGGATACATCAGATTTTTATAGTAAGCATACCTTTTACTCGTATGTATTTACATTATTAACTATTGTTCGAAAGTACGTTACTTGGCTTGCAGAATATACAGAGTGTTTGAGGTTTGGCTACGAATATATGATAATAAAAGAACATAGGTTTGCAGTATTTAAAGTAAAAACGTGTACAATATAAGTACTTTTTATTTTTCTATGCATGTTTTAAGCCCATTCTTTTGCATCACAAATAATGAACTTTGAAATTATAGTGAAAATAGTCATATACTTAAAACTCATGTAGATATATGTAATGTGTACAATTATTGATTTCAGATAAAATGCGTACATTTACAAGCAAATACAATACTTATTTCTTAGTGTATTTTATTTATTTTGCACCCGTCTTATACCTGCCATTAAACAACAACAGATTTACCTTCAAATGGGATATTCCTGTTTGTGAGTGTTACACATCCTCTGACCATTTTAAGATAATTCCTTTGGCAATGCTCTTAACAATACCCAGAGATGGTTCTGGTCTTATGAACTCAAATTTGTTTCCCCTTTTAGTGAGAATATCAACTGTTTTATTATTCTCCTCACTGATGTATCCGGAACCTGATCAATATGTAACTTTATTTCGGCCACCGATATACTTTAGGGAATTTAAACAGTTACAAACCAGCTTTGAGTCAACTCAGCTGTAACGCAGGGCCTTGTGGGCTCCGTGGCAATCTAAAAAGATCTTCACTGTTTTACTAGCTAGAGAAAATTAATCAACTCTCCCAATCTGAATTCTATAGCAAACATTTCTGCTTGTAAGGTCGTGGTTAGTGAGGTTCACTGATATGTCAACTCCCGCTACTCTTCCTTTTTCGGTTTTGGAACCGTCCTTGAACGTACAGCGAATAGTCCAGGGCCAACGAGAGGGGGAATAGCCGGGACAAATTCCCGGGGCCCGGGCACAAGTAAGCGCCCGGCAGCGGCACAAGGGGGACCCGGCAGCTTTAGGTGAAGAAGTTTTACTTTTTTAGAAGTTTAGAGGAGCGTTGGTTTATGTAAAACAGAAGAAGAGGGCCTTTTTTTTAGAGATTTCACTAAAAAGGATCTAAATTTTTACTTGAGCATCTTTTTTTTAGAGATTTTACTAAAAAGGATCTAAGTTTTTACTTGAGGATTTATTTTGTTTAATTTTCGCGGGGCCTCACTTGGAAAATTATCCCGAGGCTCCACCTGGCTCTCGGCGACCCTGAGATAGTCCACCTGGGAGCGAGTTATATCCCCTGCTTCATACGTCTCATTCTGGAAAGAGAACAATGTATGTTTTTTAGAATGTAGTGGGTATTAATCTTACTCATCAACATCGTTTTGTCCCAGCGCAGTTTTTTACTGCATCGGAGTCTATAGACCATACTGTCATTCCTTTTAACTTAGAAGTTGTTGTTTTTGTCAGAAATATTAAAATACTATATTATTCGTCAATTTAAACTAGATAACACACTTCAAGGTTAAAAAATAGAAACCATTTATCTATAATTTTTAATCTTTATTCTAAAAACATTAACAAGTGTTTTTTATGGTAAAAATATTGAATTTACTCCGATAAATACAATAATCAAAAATTGAATTTTTAATAAGAAGTTATTAAATGTTAATCCAATGCCAGAAGATGCAAGACACGAATATCCTTCTGGCTCGTAATTATTACAGATACTCTTTTTACCGCCAGATATATGTATTCCAGACCAGCTCCAACCGTCACAACTTCCTTTGCCGCAATTGATGTAAACCGGCATTGAAGTGTGATTAGTTTCTAAAATATTCCCTGTGATGTTGATTAAATTCAAATTATGTATCGGGATGTTGGTGTTGGCTTTGCCGGAAGAACTGCCATTTACGTAATCTTGTTGGATGGTGATACCATACCTCTGAAGTCCTAAACATAAAAATTTCCTTTCAGTATTAAGTATGTTTTACATAGCTGTTATATTTACCTGAGCAATGGATATTTTGATAAGTAATATTCTTTATCTCTCCTTTAAAAGCATCAGCATGAGTTTTAACGTGAATGCCGTTAGCAGAACGAACAACGACAGAATCTTGCACTGTTACATTATACAACGTGTTTTCTATAAAGGTAGTGTAGCTGAAGCCAACAGAAATGCTTATTCCATGACCTCCAGCACAGTACATATTTCTGATTAGGATGTTCGCTCCGTGTCTTAAAGCAATGCAATCGTCTTGGTTAACAACTTTGGTATTTTCGATGATGAGGTTTGTTGCACCAGAAACATCGAAACCGTCCGTATTTTTTCCTATGGCGTAGTCCTGAAAGAAACGTTAATGTTGTTAAAAGGGTTTTGTATCTTTTTCTGAGCAAATAGCAAATAAGCATTTTATTTCTCACCTATTTCTATTAAAATAAATCATTACAAAACTTACGTTATCCACGTGATCCCCGTAGGAATTGTCTATAACCCAACCAGTTATAGTCAGTCTATCGGATGTTCCAATATATATACAATGGTGTGGACAATTTAATATATTAAGATTTCTGAATACTGAATCTTCCGATACTTCAATTTTCATAAATTGAGGTTTTTTGAGTCCCTTATCGCCCGTATGGTCCCAGTATAACTGACCCTGTCCATTTAGCAACGAACCTAGACCATAAGAATTAAATTTTTTCAATTAACAACAGGAAAGTTTAAAATATATTTACCTGGAGCACCCTGGATAGTAACTCTTTTGCCTTTAACCCTAATCAAAGGCCCTGACCATGGTATATGTTCAAAACTTGTAATTCCTTCGAATGTAAGGGTCGTTCCATGCTTCAAGTACAATTCCAAAGTTTTTCCAGCAGGTACGACTAGATTATTTATAACAATATTAGTGCAGTTGCCTACCGCTGATGCTACTTGAGAGAATTTGGTAACTTTGCAACGTGGATCTGCATTTTGAGCACTGGTTAACGCAAAAATAAAGACGATCAGAAATGGTTTAAACATTTTGGTAGAAAAGTTGGAATCCTACTGTAGCAGGTATTTTGAAATGTTAGAAATGAATAGGTATTCAGTGAATTTTCAAGTGTTGTGCGATAAAATAAAGATAAAATATCGAATACATGTTTTATTTAAAATTATTTATACAGGCTCTTGTAGATTATTACGTAAAACCATTGTATTTAGATATCCTAGTAGGTCAACCTTATGGACGTTTCATTGGAGACAATTCTGTCGACATCTGTACAAAATGGCTCGTGTGCTAAGCGCTCGCTCCCTCGATCATTGAGTATAGAATTCTATATGTATAAAGTTTTAAATTCATTTGCCAAATTTAAATTAATATTGTTTATATTCTCTAAAATGATGATAAATCGTAAATAAATCTTCATCAAGCATAATAATTAAACTCGTATATCTCATTTTTGAAACAAATATTCTGAATCGACTATCGTTCCATCTATTAATAAACAAAAAAATACGTTCGTTATTTAGTTTCGACAACCGTTCGATGACAAAATTATCAAAGACATGGCTTGGACACCACAGAGCTTGCTGCCATCTATTGATACTGTTCTCCAAGATAATTTACATTGGCATTGTTCTACTAGTTGATCTAAGTACAATGGTAAAACTTAATTACACATACCTATGTCGTAAAAGACTCACTGACCTTTATATTAAACAGGATGCTTATAAAAGTCACATTGAAGATTAAAGAAAAAATAAATTTTTGGAAATGGCTTAGACAGTTTAATTTTAATATACTGTAAAAGGTCTTAACAAAAACATACCACATATTCCTTAGACCAAAATAAGTCGATTTAAGTAAAATTACCTTAGTACAAAGTTGCTTCATTTGGGCTCCAGAGGGCCTTGAAGTTACAATTTTTAAATCGGTTTTCCCATATAAATTTAAAACGGCATATGCGATTTTGCTGAAATTTGGTGTATTGGTAGAGTTTTATGTGGCAAAAAAAATGATATTAAAATTTTGTCCGAAAATAATACATACGCGTAGAACTTGATTTTTTAAATAATTGCACCTTTAAAAATTCTACGCCAATGGAAGAAAAGGAGTTTGAGTATGAAATTTAGATTGCGCAACTCATTTACTTTAAAAAAGGTACTCTTGATAAGACTCGATTACTCTCATGGTTTTGACGAAATTTGCATTTTAATAATTTTAGAACATAAACAATAATTATTAAAATACAAACTTTGTCAAAACCATGAGAGTAAGTCGAGTGTTATCAAGGGTACTTTTTTGTAGTAAATGAGTACCCAATCCAAATTTCATACTCAAACCCCTCTTCTGCCAATGGCGTAGAATTTTTAAAGGTGCAATTATTTAAAAAATCAAGTTCTACGCCTATGTATTATTATCGGACAAAATTTTATACGATGAAAAACATAAAAATGTACTTTTTTCATATCTTCTTCAACACATCTAATCGAAACTTTTAACAAAAATACTCGATTCTTGCCATGTACGATTTTTTGAGGAATATTAATTATTTGCCTGCAATACGTATACAAAAACATTTATTGTTGGTTTCCATAGTTTCATCTAAATAAAAATATTGTCAAGTTTTAACACCTAATCTCTTGTTAACGATTGAAAGTGTTCGAACAGAGTCAGATAGATCTATCTGACTCAATAATTAAAAAAACAAATGCGTGGTTTATTAATATAGCTGTACAATATACCAATGCAGAATATACCGATATGTTACTGACATTAGGATTTTGTGAAGGAAATGCTCGAGAGAGTGTCAGGGTGTACTCTGGAAGGTTTCCAAATCGTCGTGTACCTAGCCACCCAACTTTTGCTGCTGTTGAGAGACGTCTTCGGGAGACCCGTTCCTTTGCTCCCAACACTGTTGATAATGGAAGAGAACGTTTTGTAAGGATTCCTGAAGTTGAAGAAGACATTTTAGAACGTGTTGAAGAAGATCCAGAATTAAGCACCAGACGAATTGGAAGGGAACTAGGAGTAAGTAAAGATGTCGTTCATAAAGTGCTTAGAGAACAATTGCTATATCCATACCATAAGAAGCCAGTACAAGAATTATTAGTCCATGATCCTCAAATTCGTTTGGGTTTTTGTCGATTTGTTAATATGCTAAGAGAAAGAGATCCAAACTTTGTCAAGAAGGTTCTCTTTACAGATGAAGCGGGTTTTACAAGAAGAGGTATAACTAATACCAGAGTTGGGTAGTATCCGGATACTTCTGTATCCGGATACAGTATCCGGATACTTCTGTATCCGGATGCAGTATCCGGATACTTTATGTGTATCCGAAAGCTGTATCCGGATACTTTTCAAATTTTGTATCCGATATCCGTATCCGTGACCAAATTTGTAAGTATCCGAATACCGGATACTTTTTTCGACATTCGGATACTTTTAAATTATTTACCACAATCGTAACTGATCCAATTCACATTATCTCTATTAAAATATATAATCCAAATACTTTGAGTTACCTTGTATAATTAGAAATAAAATACGTATTTTTCAATATTACAATATTTAAGACACAATTGTAATAGGTACCTACTTAAATAAAAAATAGTAAAATAATTACTTTATTATTTGTAGTTTTGTTTGGTGCACCCTGTAAAATTTAAAATAACGCAAAAAAAAATCTCATCGCCAAGGATAAATTCGACGATTCACCCAGTATACAAACGGTCGGGATTCAGCATCTTGCGGTACGTTTTTACAGGAAAAATCATGCAAACCCTTGTGTGGTGTTAGCGTCACGAACTTGTGGAGGTTCCATTAGCCCAGTTATGTTTCAGTTGGCAAAGACAAGAGAAGGTTGTTCCTGTGTTTTTATATACTGCAATATAACTAAACTTTCTGTATCAGTTTTAGTGCTTAACTATATGCAAAGGTAAGTAGGTGTATAGGGTTGCCAGACGTCACGCTTTTGGCGTATTTGCCAAGCTTTTTGACTTGCTTGTACGCGCAACGCCACAGTACGAAAAAGTCACGCTTTTGACAAAAATGCCACTCTTTTTATGCAAATGCCACTCTTTTAATGCAAATGCCACTCTTTTAATGCAAATGCCACTCTTTTAATGCAAATGCCACTCTTTTAATGCAAATGCCACGCTTTTATATAAAAATAGACAACTTTTCAGGCAAAGGGCTCTTTTTTACAAAAAAATATAACAAAGAAATTTCACAAAAGAAAGGGCCTGATTACATAAAAATGCTTGGTATTTAAACCTACTGCTCTGTCGTCACGGTTGTCATGCTTTTCACTTTCGGAAATCTGGCAACCTCGAATTTTTTGTTTTGTAAAATGTCTAATTACATTATTAGTTCTTAAAATGTAGTCGAAAAAATACATGTATGACGTTGTTGCTCATAATGTTGATCATGTGTTATTTATGTCGTCATCAACATCAATAAAGTGTACAGATCTGACAAGATCAAATATACGAGCCTGCTTTACCTATGTCAGAACGAAACATTCAGCAATCTCTCACTCCTCCTTCTTTCGACGCTCTCGACCAGAGATAACAGAGATATAAGCAGTCATTCATAAAATATAATATTCATGGTGCCAACAATAGTTAGTACTGTATATATTCTATTTCTAGACGCGGGGCGAGGCGACGAAAGGTGAGAAGTAAGAGAAGGGATAGAGTGAAGGATTTTACGTAGTATTATCAATGAATAACTGCCCGAGCTTATACTACATAACGTAAATTTCCATGCCGGTGTAAGCCCTGTTGCCACTTCCAATTTAACATCTCTAGGTTTTGGAATTTGTTGAAAATTATTACATCTAATTTAATGAAATTACATCTAATTTGGTTAAAAATGGCTATTTTTTGTTCTAATGCTCAATTAGGTCTTTGTAGAAAGTATTTTTTTTATAATTATTTAAAATCATTTACATTAGCCCTTATGGTCGAAAAAAAAATTTAAACGTCAATATCTCGGTTTCAACCGTCTACAAATTTGTATAAAAAATGTTCTTTTAGAAATATACTTCTCATTTGACGAAAAACGAAGGCATAAATGAAAAACAACTATTCTTTATAAAAGTTTCGCCTATATATTGACAAGGTAAAAGTACTTTCGTCATATTTTTTGCTTTTAAATTAATAAAAATATAGCAATAAACAATTAGTGATGTCATGGTTTTACTAGAAAGCAAACATTAAAGGCAGAGCCTCTCGACTCTTTATGTATCTATCTCAGTATTGAAATGAATGTAATCAGTTTGAATCTCTAACATTATTTTATACAGGGATTATTGATTTTTCCACTATGAATAATAGGGTGTATTAATTACTTCAAGATTTTTTTTTATTTTTGGTAGAAAATGAAAAATAAAAAAATATAAACTATTTATTAAAGGTATTTATTGAAGTATCAATTATAAACAGTAAGGCTATTGCTTTGCAAAATACAATAAATCCCCAATATAAATAAATTATAATAATAATTGGAAGGAAGTATATAAAGCATAAATTAATATTAAAATTTATAATTACACGACTTTCAAACTAATCAGAATCAGATTCACCACACGAATCAACATTTTCCAAAACATTAGCGGCTGTGCCATACAGGTGCAGGAACCGATACAGCAAATATTTTTTTTCTGCATTTACAAATTTTGCTTCCACAGTCTAAAACAGAATATTATTGTTAGAATATTGTATAGTATCTTTTTTGCATTTGCATGATGTAAGTTCTGTTATGTCTGGTGGCAGGTCGGACAGAGTCTTAAAAGTGGGTATCAGACTTCCATCTTGATCTACTTTCCATCCATACTCTTCAACATTAGGAAGCTGCATCTGGGTTTAAAGAGGTTAGCCAAATATTTAGCTGGTAAAAACATCTTAAACAATGTAGTCTTAGGGCGTCTTCAGTCGGTGGCAATTTAGCGATGGTTTTTGAAGAGGCCAATAATCCCCCCAAAATGTTAATGGAAGTAACATTGGCAGTTTTGAATAAATTTTTATGAAAATTCTTTCAAGATTAGAGAATATGTTTTCAGAGTACTGATCAATGCCAAATCCATCCAAAAAGTAATGGTGTTAAAGGTAAGTTTTCCAACAGGTTCTTTTCCCAATGCTGGACAATTAGCTGGTTGTATTACAACCGCTCAGAGAATGAAAAGCAGGCACATTTTTTAGAAGGTTTTCATCCAAATTTAAATAATGTACTGCTAGAAATCGTCTTGAGTCTCCTCGCCCTGTTCTGAACCATATATCTTCAGTCAAAAACTTCTTAAAATAAATTAATAAGACATCTGTATCGTTGCAATAAATAATGCAGCGTGAATGCCCCGAATTTTTGGCTGACAATATAATAATAATAATAATACTCTCCCTAATTCACCCCCTTACGAGTAAATTTTAACCCCAAAAGCTGAGCTTGTCCGGGGAAAGGGACGGCTATTATTATTATTTGCCGTGGCGCTCCGGGGCGACTTAAAGATGATTGATGGTGCCATTTGACTTACAGGTGAGGAAAACCCGGAAAACCTCACCCACCATCATCGAGACGGTAATGTATGGCGAATTTTTTTAATCTGCATGTCATATCAACAGAAATTGAATTTCTATTAATACGCCACACATCAAATCCTAAACCGAACCATGCAATTTAATTAAAAATCCACATGGTCTGGTCTGGGATTCGAAACCCAGCAGTCTCAGACTCATAAACTTGCCTATAAATGAATATAAGCGCGATAGACCGCTACACCACCGTGCCCGGTGCAATATGTGCAATAAGATACGATTATTAACGTCTTCGTGATTTGAATTTAAAAAATCGTCTTTTGATGGTTTAAAATCTTTCCATATTTATTGATTATTGCGAGTTTTGAAGAAGTTGCTCTGGCAGAAAATGTGTTAAACGTCTTTTGTTAAATATCGAATGAATAAACAAGTTCTATTGTTGCGGAAGTAGAATATTGGGTCGGTCAATTTCTATATCAATTGATTTCTGAAATCCTCTCTTTTGACGTGTTATATTTTTGATAGAATGTCCTTTATAATGATCAAATACCACATCTATCATTTGAGCATTAAATTTATTTCTAAAAATAATGTTTACAAATATATGAGCATATTCTTTAAATGATATGCAACTTTAGAGCTTTCCTATTTTGATATAATTTTTGTCTTTGCTACTTGTAGCAACAAATCCGTAATTAAAATTTTAAACGAAAACTTATGACTTACCCAAATATATTCAGCTGCAACAGGATGAATGTAGATATAATAAAGATGCAAAAATGTCTATATTTTTTCCCAATTTATTAGGTAATTTAATATATAACACATACACTTATTAATTCTTTAATAAAAACAGATAACAATATGACACATTGCCCAATGGAACATAACGAGAAGTTTTATAATAAAAAAAATGAAAAATCCTACCATATCAATAATGTGATACATCAGCCGGCACGTAGAGAGAAACAGAGCTATGCTACGTTTGAAGGTGAAGAGAAAGATACACTGAGAGTTAATAAATTTGGCGGTGAGAATTAATAACAGCATAAACCTATGACATCTCTCATCGTTTATTATTATATCTTTGTTAATTCAAAAGCAAAAAATATGGTGTTTACTCTGTTACCTTGTCAACACATAACCAAAAATTTTATAAGGAATGTTTTTTTTTCATTTAGGCCTTCGTTTTTTGTTAAATGAGTGGTATATTTAAAAAAGACGACTTTTTAACTAAATTTTTGAAGGGCTAAAACCAAGATATTTACGTTTATATTTTTTTTCAGCCGTAAGTGCTAATGCAAATGATTTTTTTTAAATAAGTATGAACAATTACTTCCTACAAAGATTTTATTGTGAATTTGATCAAAAAATGAGTATTTTTTTCTCTATTCGGTGGTATCAATATCTGAATTTTTGATGATAATGCCCTTCTGCACACTCTAATTTTGTATTAACTCCGGAATAAGGGTTACCTTATCATGACCTTTCATCTGTGAAAAATTCAGCCTTGTGACAAAAGAGTGGGAGGTGAATCGTTTTCTTGAGCGAATAACAATGACAACAGCGGATATTATGTCCTACTGTGTCCCTTAGAATATGTCTTATTCACGGCCGCACGATATTTGTTAGTAGTTACATCTCCTGGTTATCTCTGCTCTCGACTCTACCAAGTACCGCTCGTCGGAGGATCCACAAAAAATGGATTGTCAAATACATCTGACACTGACGAGAATATCGAAAGGTTGTATAAACATGGCAAGTCGCGCCAACAACGAGCTTATTTTGTTAGATTTATATGGACACGACACTGGCTGTTTTTTGGCGCGGTTCAGGTGCGACCAGTTTTATTTACACGCACCTTTATGTTTTATTGTTCATTTTGTTTTAATGTTTTATATTTACAGAATAAAAATAATAAACAATTTATTGAGTAGTTTTTTCTAGTTTCTTTTATATCGCTTACAATTTTCGATAATTTATTTATGCCTAGTATTGTTTATTGTTACTCGTAATCAATCTTATTGCATAATTATAATTATTGGTATAAAAACATTATTTTAACTCACTTTAAAAGTATCCGTAAAAGTATCCTTTAAAGTATCCGAAAAAAGTATCCGGATACTTGTATCCGGGTACTTTTTAGGTGAAAGTATCCTAAAAAGTATCTGGATACATTGTAAGTATCCGTATCCGGTACTCGGATACTTTTTTCCTGTATCCGACCCAACTCTGACTAATACCCATAATGAACATGTTTATGCCGTTGAAAATCCGCATGCAATAAAGGTAAACCATTTTCAGCACGAATTCAAAATTAATGTGTGGGCTGGAATAATTGGTAATTTCATTGTTGGTCCTGTCATACTTCCACGAAGATTAACTGGAGAAAATTATTTGGATTTTCTACAAAATACGTTGCCAGAATTGTTAGAAGATTTACCTCTCCAACTTCGGAGAGATATGTGGTTTATGCAAGATGGAGCTCCACCACATTTTTCTTTAAACGTTAGAAACCACTTGAATGAACAATATCCACACAAATGGATAGTGTTGAGAATAGTTAGAACGCCTATGGCTAATTCAGTTTTTCTCAAAAATAATGGAATAGTGACGTTTTTAAAAAACTTTTGTCAATCAATAAAAATAAAAGTCATTACAGTAAAAATAAAAAGGCTATTTTTATTAAAACAAGATCTTTCCGTATTCTACAGATAGGCAGAGGTAATGAGGCACCTGTAAACTGGCCACCACGTTCCCCAGACCTAACACCGATGGATTACTTTTTATGGGGACATCTGAAATCCACAGTTTACAGGGAACCTGTAGAAAATTAGGATCAACTCTGGCAACGTATTCAAGATGCAATAAACAATCTTAGAGGTGATGAAAAAGTTATGGAAAGGATACATTTTAATTTTCTTCGACGTATAAATCTTTGTATGCGTGAAAATGGTGAACATTTTGAACAATTTTTGTAAAATCTCTATTTTGATTATGTTGTAAATAAATATTTTTGTGAAACCTATACACTCTAAATTATTAAAACAGAAATTTAGCGAAAACCATGAGAGTAATCGAGTCTTATCAAGAGTACCTTTTTTAAAGTAAATGAGTTGCGCAATCTAAATTTCATACTCAAACTCCTTTTCTTCCATTGGCGTAGAATTTTTAAAGGTGAAATTATTTAAAAAATCAAGTTCTACGCCTATGTATTATTATCGGACAAAATTTTAATACCATTTTTTTTGCCACATAAAACTTTACCAATATACCAAATTTCAGCAAAATCGCATATGCCGTTTTAAATTTATATGGGAAAAACTATTTAATAATTGTAACTTCAAGGCCCTCTGGAGCCCAAACGAAGCAACTTTGTACTAAGGTAATTTTACTTAAATCGACTTATTTTGGTCTAAGGAATATGTGGTATGTTTTTGTAAAAACCTTTTACAGACACCCTGTATATATTATAGGAGTCAGGTTGAATCTTATAAAATAATGATATTTTTAGCCAAAAAGACCAAAGCCTCTGATTCGGATTCATCTTTCCTTTCTTTCATCTTGGCTTTTTTCTTCTACTCTGGTGCACCTGCACCAATATTCACGACCTTTAGTAATACGTTCTTCAACTGGCTTTCCATTGAGTTCACATTTTACTTTTTCATCCTTTGCTTCAACTCCTACCAAACCAATAATTTTTCAAGACCAGTGGCATTTGAAGAGGCTTTTCCGTTCAAAACGGCCAAAAAGTATAAAGTATTATAATAATTATATTTAAATAAAAATTAAATTTATATCTATTAACTTCTCCAAAATGAGTGTGTCACATCGTGATCTACTCTGAATAAACAAGTTTGACGTAATACGTATTCATTAAGAGCATTTGAAGAGGCTTTTCCGTTCAAAACGGCCAAAAAGTATAAAGTATTATAATAATTATATTTAAATAAAAATTAAATTTATATCTATTAACTTCTCCAAAATAAGTGTGTCACATCGTGATCTACTCTAAATAAACAAGTTTGACGTAATACTTATTCATTAAGAGCTACTATTCAAGTATTTTCAAATAAAAAATTCATTCAACTCTTTTATCGGTATTTTTATCACAGTTTTTTTTTTGTAAACAATACACAAAATACTTGAAAATTCACTATATACATTTCAAACTCGAAATACTCCAGTAGTAGGGCTCTGACTTTTCTACCAAAATGTTTAACCTATGTTTGCTCGCATTTATTTTTGCGTTAACCAGTGCTCAAAATGTAGATCCACGTTGCAAAGTTACCAAATTCTCTCAAGTAGCATCAGCGGTAGGCAACTGCACTGATATTGTCTTAAATAATCTAGTGGTACCTGCTGGAGAAACTTTAGAATTGTACTTGAAACGTGGAGCCACCGTTACATTCGAAGGAATTACACTTTTCGAACACACGCCATGGTCAGGACCTTTGATTAGGGTTAAAGGTCAAGCAATTACTGTTCAGGGTGCACCAGGTAAATATTTTTTAAAATTTTACTTTTGTTAGTGAAGAAAAAACAATTTTTATGCTCTAGGTTCGTTGCTAAATGGACAAGGTGAACTGTACTGGGACCATATTGGTGACTTTGGACCTAAAAAACCGCAGTTCATGAAAATAGAAGCATCGGAAGATTCAGTATTCAGAAATCTCAATGTATTAAATTGTCCACACCATTGTATCTATATTGGAATATCCGATAGAGTGACTCTAACTGGTTGGATTATAGACAATTCCTATGGGGATCATGTAAGTTTTATATCGAATTTGTTTAATAGAAATAATAATATTAATAAATCTATAAGTGAAAAACTACCGCTGATTTACAAATTAACCTACAAATAATATAAAAAATATAATATGAGATGATTCATTGAAATTTAGTTTAGAAGTAAATCATTTAAATCGTCGTTAATAAGACTTTGGACAGTAAGTATTCATTACGCAAACCCACAAAAAAAAAGTGTTCAGACTTGGCGGTCGGACATATGCATTCCCATGTATTTTTCGACGCTGAATCCAATTCCGAGCTCAGAAATGGCCCTCCACGCTTGGAATTGGCCCCAGGGGTCAAAAATTGCCTCTATATCTCCCTTAAGAGACAGGATTAACTCTTCCGAGTACACGTTGGTATGTGATAAGTTGGAATAGGTAAAGGCCAAACAACAAATGTACAATATGAATATGTTCCCAAAGGAGCAGGCATCACTATGTGGTTACGTAAAGACAGCTACTATTTATTGATATTGCATGATAAAGAATATAGTACTTACCGTAAAAGGTGTACAATGGATCACAAAACAATAAACTGATAAAACTGGTTCAACTTTGTCAAGCAGACTGAATGTCGGTCAGCTACTGTTGCCAATGTTTACTGATTTAGTTTGAACTGGGCGGTAATTTCAAAGGGTGATTAAGTTTCCCTTGGAATCAAGTATCCCCTCTCTCTCCTATATAGGGATAACAGCAATGGTCCTAGAATGGATATTTGCAGAACACAATGAATAACAGGTAAATTGATGGAGACACTGGCTTTCGAAACAACTTTATGTCTACGATTGCTAAGATAATTTGATATTGAAAAAACGGAATTATAAGAAAAACCAAAAATTTTTAGTTTTTGCAAAGTGTTTGATGATATAAAGTATTAAATGGTTTACTATAATCCAGAAGAAACAAGTGCCTATAGCTGTCGTTTTAAAAAAGGCCATCCGTGATAGATAAGAGGGCAGTTGTCTTACTATGATGCTTATTTTAAAGCCAGATTCACCTGCAGTTATGTTTTGTTTACATACATATTTGCTAGTTTGATTTTAAAGTATAAATTCAAAACGACGCAAGTCAGATACCTATACTCTATTCAACTTAAACGCAAGTAATGTGTAAACACAATAGCTCCTTAACCACAACACATTGAGCTAGAGGGTAGGAGGATCACTGGGCTGGCCAATAGCAGTCTGGCTTGTGCCTATCATGTTGTAGTCAAGGGGCTATTGTGTTTACATGTTACTTGCGTTTAAGTTGAATAAAGATTAGTCTAGTAAATTGATTATATTTAGTAAACGAAATAATAAAAGCATCTATTTCCACAAAATAAGTAGATAGTAAAAATTATTTGCAACTTAGAGAATAATTAGGCTTATAAAAAGATACACAAACATTTTTTTGCAAACATTCAATAACATTAACAATGTTTCTTTTAGAACAACTTCACAGGACACAATACGGACGGTTTTGATGTTTCGGGAGCAACAAACCTCATCATCGAAAATAGCCAAGTTATCAACCAAGACGATTGCGTTGCCATCAGACACGGAGCGAACATCCTTGTCAGAAATATGTACTGCTCCGGAGGTCATGGAATCAGCATTTCTGTCGGTTTCAGCTACTTTAACTATACAGAAAACACGTTGTATAATGTAACGGTGCAGGATTCTGTTATTGTTCGTTCTGCTAACGGAATTCACCTCAAAACGCATTCTGATGCTTATAAAGGAGAGATGAAGAATATTACTTACAAAAATATATATTTATCAGGTAAACATGATAGTACTATGAAAAACAGGGCTAAAAATACTAATAAACATTAACTTTCAGGTCTGCAGAATTATGCTATTAACGTCCAACAAGATTACGTGAACGGCAGTGCTACCGGCATACCCAGCAACAACATCCCGATACATGATTTCAATTTAATGAATATCGTAGGAACTTTTGATGAAGAAGCAGATGGTACCTTGCCTGTCTACATTAACTGCGGTAAAGGAAGCTGTGACGGTTGGAACTGGTCTGGAGTAGAGCTAACCGGAGCTACAAACAGCAGTTTTTGTAATAATTACGAGCCGAAAGGATATCCGTGTCTTTCACCTAGCGAATAATAAAACAACCTTTAAACAAACCTGTCTATAATATTTTTAAAATAAAGATACAAAATTATAGATAAATACCTTTTATTTTTGTGTTACCTAGCCTAAATGATACCCCAGTATATACTTTAAAAATTTAACAAGTTGATAAAATTAAAAATAAAAAGTGTAGACTAGAAATAATTGAGATAAAACTAAATGATTTTTAATATTGTACAGAGTGATACTTAAATTTTATTTAGAATATTACAATAAATGTTACTTAGTTGGTTTATGTCAGATTTATAATTAATAGTGTTTTTAGTTTTATTAATGTAGTACATTTCCAGAAATAACCTATTCTTGTGTCCACTGTCCGAAAGTTTGTTTAAGTGTAATGCTGTTTTTATTTAAAATTTTATTCGATTGACTCAAATCCTGTAAGTAGTAATTTTAAATTATTTTATTAGTGTATTGTTTCATTTAAAAATCTTGTAGTTCGCTCCTGATGAAGCTATTAAACAATGGCGAAATATTGAGCAAGTAAGGAAAAGAGTTTTATTTCTTAGGACCGCTAACCTGATATTATCTTCACTTAAATAAATATATATATATATATATATATATATATATATATATATATATATATATATATATATATATATATATAGAGTGGAAGGGTAGTCTTTGCTGAATAGTAATGTAAAATTCAAACTAATTTATTGGGGGCAGCAGCAATATATAATAAAGAAAACTCTTTAAAGATGATCCAAGCTTTAATTCTATATGTGCATCAAAATCATAACATTTAACATCATTAATAATTCATCCTCACAAAGATGTAAGTAACTCACTCTCTTAATAATATTATGTTCCTATGAAGACACACCACACCTTTTGTAGATTCCCTGAAGATGGAAATAAGTTATTAAAATTTCCGAAAGCTTGGATCATCTTTAAAGAGTTTTCTTTATTATATATTGCTGCTGTCCCCAATAAATTAGTTTGAATTTTATATATATATATATATATATATATATATATATATATATATATATATATATATATATCGACTGGTGCGTGCGTACATGATGCACGAATACATTCATATACTCGACTGTAAATACATGTCCAGTGTTGCCGATTTGTTTCCACTTCTATCGACAGTCTTCAATGACTGCCTCATTTTTTTTGTACTGCAATTGATTTTGCATGATCTCGCTTCGCTCCTACCACAAATATTCACTGAATACCCAAAATAAAGCATTTCGCAAATGATTACATAAAATTCTATTGTATAACCAAGTATTTATTGATTTGATGCATTAAAATCCATGGGAAAATTTTACATTTTACATGCACGCATTTGAAATTGACAATTTGAAAAATCAAATTCAAATTAAAAATAATATAATTATTATTGCATGGATTACGCCGGATATGCGACAATAATAATCCAGTGGACATTTTCTAAATAAAAATAATTTCGATAAATTGTTTATAATTAAGTGTAATGATACCTTTGTAACGGTTACATGTTTATATAGTGTTTGTTTTGCCGCTTTTTTCATTTGTGCGTAGATTCGAAGTTGATAACATAATGCATAATTATTTGTGTATCGGGTATGCTATTTTTGCAGTTGTCGTTGGTCAGGTAAATACATTTTTTTTTGTAGTACAGATTAACAAACTACTTTGTCATAGAATTTAGAAACGAGGAGATTTATCATGTAATACAGATTTTTTACGTGTACCTGGCGAAACAAACTTCAAGGGGAGGGAGGAGTTCTTTGTGCCCTTAAAAAAGAATTGAATGCAGTTCTGATTGACACATCTGATGTTTGTCGTTCTATTCCAGTATTCTTGTAAAAATTAAACCCCACTATCAATGGTCCTTTATCTTACTTATATACATACCGCCAGCTTGTTCTGATGATGACTATGAGGCTGTGTTCGAGGCGATATCATTACTAAATATTCTTTATGATAATCATCTTCTAGTACTAGAAGATTTCAATGTGCCAGAGTATATTTTTCCAATAACCAATTCTAGCTGCACGCCTAGATTAAACTTCGTACAAATCTACAAATTCGACTATCGTAGCTATGTATTTCAGTCCAATTGGTAAAGACGCCGGGACCTCTACTTGGAAGTTCCAGGTTAGATCCCTAACCGATGCAATTGTTTTTCTTTCATTTCTTAGTTTTTCTTTGGTTTGTTTTCACTTAAGGGATACATTTCGTAAGGGGAATTAGGGATCATATTTTCACATTTCCAAAAATAATTTGTTACAGGTTTGGGCAGGATGCGAAAGACCTCTCGAAGTAAGAGGAGTGGAAGATTATTGTTGGTCAACCAGAGTTGAAATGAGCGAACGAATTCACGAAGTAGAGAAAAAAGTCGTCACTTTTGCGAGGAAAAAATTAGGAATGGACGTTGACGAACCCAGCGATCCACAAAAGGTAGATATTTAACAGTTTTCTCCATTTGTTGAACCTCCAGTTTTCTATTTAACCGTTAATTGTCAGAGTATATAAATTCTCCCTAATACAGAAGTGTCTCAATAATGCAATTATAGAAAGTATAGTCCAAAGATATACCACCAATGGATAAACACCAAATATTCAAAGGTTTTATTACTTTCCTATCTGTATACAGATATAAGGAAAGTATAGGAATCATGATTTTTTTCGACCTCGAGTTTTCGACGGATTTTTACGTTTTGAGGTCCCCTGAATCCGTTTTGACTATTTTCGCGATGATGTCTGTGTGGGTGTGTCTGTGTGTGTGTGTGTGTGTGTGTGTGTGTGTGTGTGTGTGTGTGTGTGTGTGTGTGTGTGTGTGTGTGTGTGTGTGTGTGTGTGTGTGTCTGTATAACGCATAACTCATGAACCGATACACAGAAAAACACCAAATTTTAAACTTAAGCTTTGTTTCAGCGTCCAATGAGCTGATTAGATTTTGGGCAGAGTCGGAACATCTGGGGGGGTACTTTATAGGTGGTCATTTTTATATTTTATGGAATATATCTGTTATTTACGTTTGGAGAAGAAAATTCTTCAAATAAAAGTTACTTCTAATATAATTATCTATTATTTTTGTTTTATGCAAAATTTTCCTAAAATGGTCCGTATTCGAGAAATTTGACAAAATGTAAAAAAAATAATTTTTTATAAAAATTGTTCAAATAAAAGTTGTTTGTAATATAATTTTCTATAATTTTTGTCCTATACATAATTTCTCTAAAATGGACCGTATTCGAGATATTTGAGAAAATGTGTAAATTTCGAAATTTGAAGAAAACTCCAAAACGGATAAAGGAAAAAACATTAAATTTTAAACTTAAGGTTTATTTCGGCCTGACGTGAAATGATTAGATTTTGGACAAAGTCGGAACATCTGGGGGGGTACTTTATGGGAGGCCGTTTTTATATTTTATGGAATATATCTGTTATTTATGTTTGGAGAAGAAAATTGTTTAAATAAAAGTTACTTCTAATATTGTTATCTATAATTTTTGTTCTATGTCAAAATTTCCTGAAATGGTCCGTATTCGAGAAATTTGACAAAATGTGCAAAATTCTGATTTTTATGAAAATTGTTGAACTAAAAGTTGTTTGCGATATCGATTTCTATAATTTTTGTTTATATATGATTTTTCTAAAATGGACCGTAATGGAAAAGTGCTAAATTTAAATTTTTCTGTATTTTCGTTTTCAATGAATATCTATAGAAAAATGTTTCGAGGTAGATGTATGTGGAAAATGTATATATTTAGTTTATCCTCTAAACATTTATAGAGATGCTGCAATAGGTTGTACAAAATAACCGGAAAATGCCTATAATAACTAGATAGGAAAGTCATGTGTTGGACACATCAGATTTTTTAACTCTTGGTCAGACATTGTCTTTAACCAGTGGTAAAAAACATCTAGGAGTCATTTTTTTGTCACGAGTTAATGGAAGTTCCTTCAAGACTACCAGGAACACGAGTTTGATAACAAATAACGCGGCAATATGGCACTGGTGAGAAAAACTGTTTAAACTTATTGTGCAAAGGCCAAGAAACAAAAGACAATAAAGAAAATGTAGTTCACATGAAGTGAAGTATTTTCGCTATAACCATCAAGCTAAATCAAAGTTAAGCCAAGGAGGAAGTACGTAACGTTGGATGGAATAGCTTTCTGTTGTTTGGAGATATATGTCACTCAGTAGAACAAATTAATATTGATGCTTCCATCTATAAAAGCCAACACGCAGCAAACGAATATTTAAACATGTTACAACCAGTAAACATTGAAGTGCTAAGCATATTCTTTGCACATACTTTTTAAGTACGACAGTGCACATTCTTTTAATGATATACATAGTACATTTTATGAACGTGTAATAAAGGATATGCTTTCGGAACATATCCTGAAGTACTTTTGACGTACACATGCATAGTACATTCTTTAGAAGTAATACAAAGGTATTTTTTGCATTATACTCAGACAACACACATAGTCCAATGGACGCCCACTTTAGAATCATTTGAGGGCTAGAACGTCTATATCCGTATACAGTGTAGGTACTTCCGTTTATGATCATTAATTTGACGTTCAGTGGAAGTGCATCTTAGGTCATTATTTATTTAGCCTTACTAGATAATACCCATCTATATACACTTCCTTTTTTTTAATATCATTGGTCATTAAAAATTGACAAATTGAATCTAGGTATTGCATTTCATTCTATCAACGGAAGTTTCAATTCTTATTCTATTATAATCATATCTAGTAAAAAGTTGTCAAGTCAAGGCTCCTTGGTCGAGATCGCCTCTAGCGGTTGAAAGCCTGGAACACTAATGGACGTGTTGTGAGTTCGATATCTGCTCAGGTCAAGTAATTTTTAAATAAAAAAAGTAGTCTATAGCGGGTTGCGAAAGTAATAAATTATTAATAACATAAAATAATGAGTGGTGAGTTGCGGTATGTGTAAAAACAAGTAGGGATGTGGTCTCAATGGAATATAATTCAGGAATGGACGTTTTCTGAATGTCCAGTATTCAAAGTCCAAGTATAATCCAGAATTGGACGTCCACTATAATAATAATAATAATAATAATAATAATAATAATAATAATAATAATAATAATAATAATAATAATAATAATAATAATAATAATAATAATAATAATAATAATAATAATAATAATAATAATAATAATGTTTATTCAATTCAATTCAGTACAGCACATAAATTCAATAGTAAATATAAATATAAAGATAGATACATAAAAGTTAGGATAAATACAAGTAACATATTATTAAAAAGACTTAGTAACTACCTCATTAAAATAATACATACTAAGTAGAGGGTGAATAAACAAAGTTAAGCCACAGAAGTAGTTTTTAGAACTACTTGTATTGTGACCTTAATACAGTTTGTTTTGCCTTTTTTGGGCGACACAAACAGGGTTTTTGTCAAACCCAGTGAAAAAAAAAATATATTGTCAAATCCAGTTTAAGACACATTCGGGGTATAAGGACAAAATAGAGGTAAGTTAAAATTAAAATTAAAACATCAGACACATAATCTTGCAGACAGATATTCTTGAAATGGCTACTTTTGTCACTGTAGAGTTTGATTTACTATCTCGGTAAAAAATCGTCTCTCTGTTTCCATAATCCATTTTTTAATTCGATTTTTATATAAATTAAAACTTTTTGAGTTTTTTATATCATTAGATAACAGCACGTAAATTCTTGGGGCTAAATAGTTAGTATTTCTTTTCCCGATAGTTTTTTCACTTCGTGGGAAAACGATCCCTTCATATCTCCTAGTATTATAAGAGTGTTCATGATGTACAAATTTTATTTTATTTTGAAATATAAAAAACAATATTTTTTGAACGAAAATTTGTCGTACATCTTTTACTTGGGCATCTAGATATAATTGATCTGAGGAAAATAAAATATTTTTTTGGAATATGATTCTTAAAAGCCATTTTTGTACAATATGTTTAAGAAACAGTCATTTACTCCACCCCACCCTAAAATACCATAAGAAAGCAGTGACTCAACCAGTGAGAAATACAAGACTTTTAATTCCTCAACTTCAAGAATTTCCTTTAAATACCTAAATTTTGGCAAATGACCTCTTATTTTTTTTACTATTTCCTTACATTGTAGATCCCATCTCATATGACGATCAATTGTAATACCGAGGTATTTTACTTTTTCTGCTTCTACAATGTGGTTAGTCGTCCCGATGTTCAGTGGCCCCAAGTTAGGTAACCCAGTTAGGTAGGATGAAAAAGGTAAGTAGTTTGTTTTACTAGAGTTAAGCGTTAATTTATTGAATTGTAACCATTTAGTAATAAAAGGAAAATCATTTTCTATTTTATTTTTTAGATCTTGCCAGTTGGATGAATTATAAAATACTACAGTGTCATCTGCAAAACTGATGAGCTCACCCTGAATATTCAAGGAAAGCATACTATTAATATATAAAAGGAACAGAAGTGGACCAAGAACGGTTCCTTGAGGTACACCGTAAGTAATTGTTTGCGGTGTGCTCATTACTCCATCGATTTCTACTATTTGATCCCTATCTGATAAATAACTTTCAATGAGTTTGTAGGTATTTCCTCTTATACCATACTTCTCTAATTTATTTAATAACGATTTGTGGCAAACGGTATCAAATGCTTTAGAGAGATCTAGGAAGATACACACAGCAGGAATATTATTATCAAGCGAATCATAAATAAGAGAAGTTAACTTATATATCGCATCTTCAGTCGACCTAGATTCTCTGAAGCCATACTGCCGATTGGATAAAATTTTATATTTTTTTAAGAAGGAACAAAGTCTAATTTTTATTATTTTTTCTATTATTTTCGAAATATTTGACACCAGTGATACAGGTCTGTAATTAACCATTTCCGTTTTTTTCCACTTTTATAAAGTGGTTTAACTAGACCATTTTTCAGAATTTTCGGAAAAGAGCCTGTACTAAAACATTTATTTATTAAGTAGGTTAGTGGACTTGCAATCTCATTAGATATTTCCCTTAAGGTTTCAGACCTTATACAATCGAGGCCTGGTGACTTCTTAAGTTTCAAATCTTTAATTGTATTAATGACCTCAACCTCATCAGTAGGGCTAAGGAACATAGTACTTTCTAAGCAATTTATATTTTCTGTATAATTTGTTACTTTTGGTATTTTTTCAGCTAAATTTAAGCCTAGTTCACAGTAGTATTTATTAAATTCATTTGCAATATTCAATTTGTCAGTAATTTCAGTTCTATTTAATTTAATTTTTTCAATATTTTTTTAGGTGCCGTTTTGCCGCAAACCTTGTTAATGCACTCCCACAAAGATTTGGAGGAATTTTGATTTTTTTTGGATGATTTTTCTATAATAGTCCTTTTTTGCTTTTTTAACTAATTTATTTATATTATTTTTGTGCACGTTGTATTGCCTTTTTGTTTCTAAATTATCGGGATGTTTTAAGGTTAATTTGTACAATTTATTTTTTTCATCAATTAATTTTACTAATGTAGGATTCATCCAATTTTGTAATATTTTTATTTTTTGTTTTATTTTTACTTTTTGTGTATTTTGATTAATGTGATATTTAAGAGTATTAATAAATTTTAGAGTTATATTATCAACTTCCGTTTCATTGTATACCTGTTCCCATTTTTCCAATATTAAAGCATTTTTTAGTAATGGATAATTTATGTAATATTTGTACTTTAATTGATGTTTTATCTTAATGCTGTTTTGTTCTATTTCCAACGTAAGGGCTATGGGACAGTGATCTGTAATATTATATCTAAAAATATATGATTTAGCTTCAAGCTAATGGATATATTTGTATACTTCACTGGACGTCCATCAGAAGTGCAGAAAAAAACTCATTTTTGTACATCCAAAATTGTATATCGAATGGTTGTCCAATAGACATATTTGTACTGTCTGGGTAGTTTATATGGTCCAGGACGTGAATATCACGTGCTTTTATGGTAACTTTGTGAAACTTGTCGTTTAATTTAGTTCTTTACAGGTAAAACATGCCTCTAGAGATTTAGTTACCAGGCCTGTATGTGCATTTAACGGAATATGCTTATCAGGTGAAATGCACGTGCATATAAGGTGAAATGCACGTGCATAAAAGGTGAAATGCACGTGCATAAAAGGTGAAATACCTACAAATAAAGAACGTTCTTTGGAGATGCTTTGTATGTGCAATCTGGAATTTGTTTCAAAGCATATGCTTAGCATGTGAATAAGATATACTTCAGTACATGCACAGGAGATGAGTAACACGTGACGAGGTTCGTCATCAGTATTTCCTTAGCATATGCATAGGAAATGTCTTACGTTATAAATGTGACAAACAACAGGTGAATAGGCATGTGATTTTTCCAAAAAGAATGTACATTGCACATGCATAACAAGTGAAAATGTTTACTGAGATTGGATCATTACCAGCAATAAAGTTTAATGCCCACTGTAATTTTATTAAATGTCAAAATAATTCACAGATTTCTTATCATTTTTAGTGCGACTACTACTACTGCGTATTTCAAGAACTAAAACTGGTAAGTAAGATTAATATAAATACTTTTAGAAGAATTATTAATAACAATAAAACCGTAATTGACTATGTGTGTGATAATACCGTAGCAACTATTTTACCAATAAACAAATAAAAATTATTAAAAGCTTCATAGATACATATTTGTTCAGTATTAATTTAAGTAAATGTAATTTTTTACTTTAATAAAAACATTTTAAATGATATTGCAGCTTTAAAAACAGTCACCTTTTATCAAAAAGATCTGCCCTGGTATAATGATCAAATTAAAAAACTAAGTAAAGATATTCTGCGTACAACTTCTTTTTTTGTCACTGTCATCAATTTTATTGTCGTATTTTTTATGTACAGGGTGTAACAACTATGAACAGTATAATCATTAAAACAAGTAAATTCAAATAGAAATCAATATGTAACAGTATCCCCCTTAGTTTGGAGTTTCAGCCAAAACTATCAAGATTTCTTGATATTACGATCTATCAATTCTGATACAGATCTCCGAAAGATTGTCCTAGAACTATTTTTAACGACAACGAGTCTAGTAATCTTTTCTTTTGCTGGGTAAAGTAGAAACGACTATAGCTCTTTGCCAATTGTTTCCAACTTGAATATTTCTTCTTTGTTCATGCCATTTTTTTTTAATTAGTGTTGGTAAATACTCCCTATACTCCCTAGTCCATCGGGACCAGAATATGTCTGCTAAATTTTGCGTAGCTCTCCAGGTAGACATAAGATTCAAGTCACTATCACATCATATTGTACAAGGCAGCGCAACATAGTTAGGTCCAATCAATAAATGATTAGGAGTCACAGGAGTCGAGAGTTGATTATGTTTTCACACTCTGCAAAGAGTGTTCGAAGAATATGTTCAGGTGGATGTTTTGTTGTTAACATTTCTTTAAGGATTTTTTTGGTACTTTGAATGAGACGTTTTCAACTTCCACTCATGTTTGGAGCTAGCGGTGGATTATAAATAATTTCTATGCGTCTGAGGGATAAATACCTTTCGACTTCATTATCTTGAAGCAGAGTTTCAAGGTGTTTTGATAGTTCCAATGAAATTACTATGGCAGTCACAAAAAACTTCATTTGGCGAAGAACATTATTGAATGAACTTGAAGTTAAGTCATGTACGATATCCAAGTGAACAGCACGTGTATCTTTTTTAATTACTTCTTTTCACAGATCCTAAATAATCTACTCCTGTTCTAATGAAGGGACGAATCGTAGGTCCAATGCGACAAGTTAGCAATTGTCCCATTTGAGGTATAGTTGGTGTTGCTCTTCGGATTTTGCACCATTGGCAACTATTCCAAATACTTTCGTAGGATCCAAAATTTTTGGCGAAGATTGTTGATAACGATTTCTTGGTATAGTTTTGTAATCATATGATTAGGGTCTTTTTGTATCTAGGGTAATTTCGGAAGATTTGTCTAGTCTTCCATCAAGTCTGATTAGTTCGTCTTCTTCAGAATAGATACAGGAAGAGTACAACCTACTTTTAGAATTAAGAACTTTCCTTTCTTTTAATGCAGCTGTTTCACTTGAAAATGCGTCTTGAGGGGTTAATTATGGGAGTTGAAATAATTAAAAAAAAACTAACTCAAAAATCAAAAACGAAAAGCGATATCAACATGTAATTTTTAATAAAAATCAAGCTCTATAAGAGATTGAAGTCTACTGATCCTGAACAAAAATCTGAATAAAAATGTAGGGTTGAAATAAAAAAATCTTAACTCATAAACAAAAAATGTTATCAATTTAAAATCTGCAGATAAAATAAAGCTCTATAAAATTTCATATACCTAGATTTTGTTTTTTTATTTCTTGCTTTATAAAAAACCTAGACGTCAAAAAATGAGATAGAAGACTTGTTTTCTTATTGTCCCGGTATATACTTACTAGCTTGGATTAATCATGTCTGGGTTTTGGGAAATGATTATAAGTACCTACGAATAATTTAAAAATTGTTTTTATATAGCTGAACCCACAATACGACGTCCCTTGTATAGATAGAACATCAACATGGGTAAAGAAGAACGTCGTCTATGTCCAAGCCGTCGAACTTTTAGAAAGAATTAAAATGTGTACTGGGGAATTAGCAAATGTTACAGGTACGTTGAATATGGGTTAACACTGTCACTGTACCTTTAGGAAACTCAAAACACAGGAGCCATGAGAATTTTAATTAATATAATACTATATGGCCCAATTTCAATGACTATAAAATTATTTACACATATTGGGTTGATATTTAAGACGATTGGGATTCTTCCGGTAGAAGTAGAAAGCTCCTAATATATAATCCAATCATTGACTTTACATAAATTTTCATCTTCATTGAAATTACCAAATATTATAATGGATAATACCCCTAAATTCCAATTAAAGATATTAATTACACCAATCAACTGAAACAAAATTACATAACACCTAGTATATCCACAAATAACAATAATAATTTAAAATTCTCTAAATATACTTATGCCCTTTCTATGGGCAATACACCAAAGTTCGGTTGATGCAAATCTTTGTCTTGAACCACCACCAAGTCACCCACTTTGATATTTTCAACAGTTCTCCATTCGCTTCGTTGTTGTAGATTAGACAAACATTTCGTCCAAAAGCTTTGGACGATTTGAGAGATCAGCTGGTAACGATTTAACCTTTTAGTATTGGTATCTGTTAACTCTTCTTAGGATGGTGCCAATAGAGACGTTCCAATTAAAAAAATGCCTTAGGGTGAGCACCTGCAAGTCCTCTGTATCTTATGTCAGGGATACTAGCGATGTCATACGACTGCCCTAATTCCGGAATACCAGATTTGAATGGAAGTGCCACCACAAATCTTTTACTACTATCTCTAAAGGACCTTTCGCACTCTTCTTCTTTTGCAAATTTCTTGACCAACAGAACCTCTTCCAAAACTCCAAAATTTCTGTAACTGCTCACCTAAGCCACCATTTGAAACAAAGTTACACACTCTTACTTTGCTCTCCCTTTCCCTATTTACCAGCATAGTCACAGGACCTATTACTATCCAACCTAATTTTGTATGGTCCTTCCATTACCCAACTTAATTTTTTCCATCTCCAATAAATCCCAAAATATACTGCTACCTAGAAGTACATCTACCTTATCAACGTCTCCAAACTTTTCATCTGCCAAACAAATTCCTCATACTTGAGAATCCACGTACATTAAAGATATATTTTTAGAAATTTTGTCCAATAACAAAAATGAGTCCCTAAACCTTATATTATTAATCCGTGGATGTAAGACAGCATGTGTTAAGTATTTAACCTCTGTACAACCATGCCCTATACCTGTTATTGTAATCCTAGTTTTTCTTTTTGGTAAATTTAGCCTCTCCCATAATTCACTTGTCATTAAATTTGACATGGATCCGCAATCCAATAGAGCCCTACACTTATGTTTGTTACTCAAGATATCTTCTACAGAAACTGTCTTAGGCATATCTTTTATGTGGCCCGTAAATTCTACCGCTGTATCCCTCTGTTCATTATTCCTGAACCACCCCCCTTTTCCCGATGAAAAGAGTCGTTTAGGATGCAACTATTATGTCTTCTACCACAACCCCTACACTTTTACAACTTTGAACCCTGTGTCCCAGTCTCAAGCAATTCCAGCATAGAGGAAGTGTTGAACTAATTCCCTTTTTTGTAGTTCTGTTAAATCTAAAAACCTTTTACAATCTTTAATAGAATGATTAGTTTTGTCACAGGCTCTGCAAACTTGGTTTCCTTTGTCCATGATAACGAGTCCAGACGCATCATCTAGTTTGATTTCAAATAAATAAATAAGTATTACATCGCAATTTTCAACCGGTATATCTAATGTTTTTAGAGATCGAACATCTTTCTTTATTTGATTATAAAATGTCCTTAACTGAGTACCTGATTCCTTTTTCATAACTGGAAATCCTAGTAAACTAAATGACTTAAACCAATAACCTTTTTATTCTTGTAAGTTTTTTTTATAGTCTATTTTTATGTATGAGAGAGTAATAAAACAGCATTTCTAATGCAAAACTTAGTACGGTCATTTTAAATATTTTTACAGAATAATCTAAATATTTCCTAAAATTGTAATAAATGTACCTGAGCTATTACAAGTTTTGGGTCTTTTATTGGTCCTTTATAAACATAAGCTGTACAGAACAATAGAAAAAGGTTTGGACAGGCCAAAAGCCCTGTGTATTAAAGATTACATAGCCGTATCTTAAGATTATTTTCAATAAGTACCTATTTGCCAATTTTGTTTTATTTTAATTTCCAAGAATTTCTTACAGTAATCGAATTATAAGTAGATAAATACCTTCCCAACAAATTTCACCGAAAATGCGATTATAGGTTTTCCATTTAGTAAGGAGGTCCAAGTTGTGTATTCTTGACAGTTTACTAAATATCGTTTAGTTGCAACTTGCAAGGTGCAGTGTGAATTCTAGTGTGATCATGGAAAATTTGGAAGGGCCGCGTAAACGACAAAACATCGGTCCTTTAACAGTTAATGAAAAAACATTAATATTTAATTGTTTTAAATCATTTACAGACAAACATTTATGTAAAAGTGTTGATGACACAGTGGAATTAGTTAGTAGTACGCTTGGTGTTGGGAAATCTACGATATACAGAGTTGTTAAAGAAGAGAAATGTGGCGAGTTTCACGTTTCACGTAAAGCTCCAGGAAAACCAAAATTTCAATTAGAAAATCTTTTGAAAGAAAGACTTCGAAGGAAAGTGCATGCGTTCTTCTTTAGAAAAGAATTTCCGACAGTAGACAAAGTTCTTGCCACGGTTCGAGATGATAAGGATTACCCTGAAAATGAGTCGAAGCACACTATGGAAACTTTTAAAAGAAATAGGTTTTCTATGGAAAAAGCATTCCAGAAAGTCTATTTTAATAGAAAGAAGCGATATGGAGAAGAAATTACCTAAGGACTATAAAAGAAATGAGAAACCAAAGAAGAAATATATTTTATTTAGATGAAACATGGATCAACGTACGAGGGACATAAACCAAATAAATTTTGGCAAGATGAAACTGTTACAAGTCGAAGACAGGCTTTTTTAAATAATTTATTTACTGGTTTAAATCCACCATCAGGAAAGGGGCGCAGATTAATAATAGTACACATCGGTAGTTCAAACGGTTTTGTTAAAGGTGGTTTATTGACTTTTTAATCTACGGTTGCATTCGACTTAAAAGACACACGAATTTCAAAAAAAATTTTGTACTATTAGAAAGTAAAGAAGTTATATATCATGACAATTAAAAAATTTTTGGAGATTATCCACGATTAAGCAAGAAATTTAATATTAAAATCTCAAAAATTGCACATTTTTCATCAAATATTTTGACTTATGTGTACAGGGTTGCCAAGTATTTTAATATGTAAAAAGATATAATTAATTTGTAAACTCGTAAACTATTATACTTTTATGATTTGTTTATTTAAATAAAAATAATAGAATTTTGTGATAAAATACCAGAATCTGTATCAAACATCGCTCCCCGACCCCTAACACAGATCAAAGAATAATATCTGCTTATATCAGCTCATACAATTGTTTATAAAATTAAACAGGAATCCTTTGTAAGTTTTTATAACTTACTGACATTTCACATGACATTTTTGAGTAATTTCTAAAAATACAATGTTACAAAATCATTTTATTTGACTCATTCAACATAAAATTTCACTCTAAATTCTCTGCTACCTGGTCATACTGTTAATACCCAGACTACTTAGTTTTAATAATAGAAGTAATAAATTAATCTTGGCAACCCCGCTCATTATCCAGAAAAGAAATGTCAAATATTAAAATTTTCAAGTTTTAGGTTAAATTTAATAAAAGACTCGTTTTCTTATTTTCAAAAAGTATTTAATTAAACTATATAATTGATTTATACTTTTTGTTTCCTATTTCCAAACCTAGGTGAGTTAAAATCATACTTAATATCATTTAAATCAAAAAAATTAAGTAAAACTGGTCAAACAGTGTGTCCCTAAAGTCGAACGTAACCGAATCTACTCGTACCGGTGACTACCATGAGGACATCAATGCTGATGTCTTTAAAGAGTGGTTCGAACAAATTATAGATCTTCTTCCTCAGAACTGTATAATAGTAATGGATAATGCAAGTTATCACTCGAGACTTTTGTTTTCCCTTCATAAAGAGAAATTAAAAAAATATGAAATTGCAAAAAATCGTGGGATGACGGTGGTTAGATCACCACCATATCATTGCGAAGTAAACCCGATTGAACTGATATGGGCACAGATAAAGGGAGAAGTTTCAAGAAAAAATAATTCTTTTAAAATGAGTGATGTTAAACAGTTGTTTTTGGAGGCTGTAAATAATGTGAAGCCTGAAAACTGAGAAAAGGCAGTAAATCATACAATTAAAGAAGAAGAGAAAATGTGGAAGTTGGACAATATTACTGATGAAATGATCGAGCCACTCATTGTAAATATTGGTTGCGACAGTTCATCTTCTGATTTCGATTTGTAGGTAAGAAGTAGTTTTTATATTAAAATTATTATTTATGAACGTAACGTTGTTTAAAAGTCAAAGTTTAAACCCTTATACCTACATAACCCGTTTGACACAATGTTCTTAACATACCTTGTGGAAAAATAAAACATTTAGAAAAAATTGCACTTTTTTACCTTCAGCTGTTAGAAGTTATAAGCAGGTTAATTAGGTGAAAATATAAGTGTATACTCGAGGAATAACTTCAAAAAATATTTTAACTGTCTACTAAAAGAAGTGATACGCCTATGGATTACGAACGCTTTATTATTTTAATACTCTCTCATACATAAAAATAGACTATAACTTCCAAGCTTCTGTATAATTGCCCCACCTTTTAACGCTTTTTTAAATAATAAAACTTCTGAGTTTCCCCTAAGTTCGAATTAGAATCTACTACCGCTTTGAAATTTTAACCAAGTTTCGTGTGAACCCCAAAAAAGTCGGAATTTCTATTGAATCGTTAGAATACAAAGTGATTCCAAAATCTACAAATTCAAACACAAATTAAAATTCATTATATTAGTAGTAAAATAATAAGATTGTTATGTTTTTTAGGAGCAAACTTTAATTTTTATGCTGACAATGTGGACAAACCTCAAAGTGGTAAGAAAAATAATTCCCAAACAAAAAAAAATCGTTTTATACATAATTTATTTCCAGAAAAAGCCCTTGAAAATTCTGGGGAACCACAAACCAAATGCGAAATTTCCAAGGAATATATGAAGTGCTTAGCAGTAGCAGAAAAAGACGTTGATGTAAGTAGAACAATATTTTTTTATCTCCAACTCCAATGTGACGATTTTTTTTTTTTTTTTAGTGTCCAATATTTATGTATCCTTAATGAAAAATTGGAAACAATGTATTAGTGAAAACTAGACACTATAACCCATTAACTACTATGTATATTATAAAATAAATACGAAAAGTCCATCCAAAATATTTTTTTACTTACCAGCCCTTGGAAAAAAATTTTAAGAATATACAGAGCGAACTACAATAAGGATAATCGGATTTGGTGAAGGAAATTGAAGGATCATAGGATAGAATTGATAAGACAAACAACACACAGAGTGAGACAAAAAAAAACGACATTTTAATTAGAAACTAGAATATATTTGTGGAAAAAAAAATGGTGTTCCAGCCATTAATAACAAACCTGCGTCTCAGACGTTTATTGTATAACACATATGTAATAAACCAGCAATTCCGGTTGATAAATAACTGCTACACAAAAATGCCTATCAGTTCCGCTAGGTTTACTGAAAGAAAAAATATATAATGTTAATAAAAAAATAAAATAAACACGCTATTTATTAATCCTAATTAGTTCTAATGGACAGGCAGGGTTCGACCATTCACTGTTGCTAAAGTAGCACTGGGAAACAGTAACAAAGCCCACACAAAACACGAGACTAATAATATTAGTAGTTGATGCTAATAAATTAAAAAATGTTATATTTAATTATGGTAAGACTCAAATAATTTAACCCTTTCTGTCCCGGGCCTTAATTTACATGTTGGTCCCTCAGTCCCAGAGGTTTTTTTCATGCTACAATATGAGAACAAAATATATACGGCAATGGGTCCGCATGACCTGTCTTAGGTGCCAACATTTCGCGGCTTTGGGACCAATAATCTAACATTTTCGGCTTTGGTGAATTGAGACCATTCCACCTTGAACGTATATATACGGTGGCTGGGACTACAGACCCACTTTTAAAAAACATATACAGTGTGTCTACTTAAGTTGGAACCATATGGAAAACATTTTTATTATTGATTTTAGGAAAAAAAGTTATTCTTGATAAAAAGTTTTGCATGACCCAAAACCTAAAATACAGTCATCATATATCAAATTTTTCAAGCCGTATACGAGGTTTGTCAAAAAATATGAATTTTGCTTAAGAGTAAAGTACGTTTATTTTGACAAAATCGAAAATTTTCATTAGGAAAAGTTGATTACAATTGAATATTACATTCAAAATATGCAATTACACCGATCTATCTGAAAAAACAGATTTTCTTATTTTTTATAAACTCTACACTCTACACATTGATTGTAAATATCTGAAAACGTTATAAATTACGTTAGCTACTATAAATTACGTCAACTTTTCTTGATGAAAATTTTTCGATTTTGTAAAAAAATAAATTTTACTCTTGAGCAAAATTCATATTTTTTGACAAACCTCGTATACGGCTTGAAAAATTTGATATCTGATGACTGTATTTTAAGTTTTGGGTCATGCAGGACTTTTTATCAAGAATAACTTTTTTTCCTAAAAATCAATAATAAAAATGTTTTCCATATGGTTCCAACTTAAGTACACACTGTATATGCGGCGTTGGGACAGAAAGGGTTAAGAAACACTCTTATTTTTAGGAATTAAAGCATTTAGTATCAAACCCATGAAAATTTTAAGTTTTATTGTGTAAAATAGCGTTCAGCCAAATCTGCTAAATTTTATAAATATAGGGTGTGTCATTTTTAGGAGATATTTTTTTTCTCGCTATTATACCAAAAAGTCTGATAATTTATAGAAAATAAAAATTATGATGCACCCGGGTAAAAGGTTCTAAGTGCAATAGCGGCTAAGCTCATTTAAAAATTCAGTTTTCCATTTAAATAACAGAACAAAATTTTTCCTTTTGAATTTTTTTCTGAAAAACGTTCGTATAGCTTTTGAAGTAAATTAAATTCTCTACAAAAATATCTCTTTGGTCCAAGACCGTACAAGCAGTAGTTTCGGAGTTATAGCACTTCAAATATAAATTTCTATAAAAATAGACATCAAATTTTCATTTTAGGGCATTTAAATTTTTAATTTAAGTATTGACTCCTTTTAATACAGTAATCAAATTCAAATTATTAGGAACTAATTATTATTATACTCTGTTTTAAACTAGGAGCGAATTGAAAAGACGCATTTACACAGGGAAAAGTAACTAGATTTGTTACTAAGAACGAGTTTCGAAATATAGTCGTGTTCAAAATTTATGAAATAATTATCTTTATCGGCCTTAGTCGGCGAACGGCCAATGAGCGGTTAAGAAAACGAATAAATGTCATAGAAATAATTTTTTAATTGGTCCCAGACAACGGTCGCAAATTTCACATTATTGTGATCTGAAATGTGTGTCTAAAACAAAATGTCACTGTCAAATAAAGTCAATATGGTTGTTGATTGATGTCAGAAATACTTTTTTCTTGTTTTTGAAATCGACTTTTTGAGAATAACTATGATCTTTTTAAAATGGATATTAAATATTTAATAAAATTGTTAATGGAATATCCAGATGTAGCCAGGTTAGTATAAAATATAAAGATCTGTTTACATTTTTACTTTCCTATCTGTATACAGATATAAGGAAAGTATAGGAATCATGATTTTTACGTTTTGAGGTCCCCTGAATCCGTTTTGACTATTTTCGCGATGATGTCTTGTGTGTGTCGCATAACTCATGAACCGATACACAGAAAAACACCAAATTTTAAACTTAAGCTTTATTCCATCCTGCGGTGAACTGATTAGATTTTGGACAGAGTCGGAACATTTGGGGATGTACTTTATTGGTGGTCATTTTTATATTTTATGAAATATATCCGTTATTTACGTTTGGAGAAGAAAATTTTTCAAATAAAAGTTACTTATAATATTATTATCTATAATTTTTGTTCTATACAAAATTTTCCTAAAATGGTCCGTATTCGAGAAATTTGACAAAATGCAAAAAAATTATTTTTTTTTATAAAAATTGTTCAAATAAAAGTTGTTTGTAATATAACTCTCTATAATTTTTTATCCCATACATAATTTCTCTAAAAATGGACCGTATTCGAGATATTTGAGAAAATATGTAAATTTCGAATTTTGAAGAAAACTCAAAAACGGATAAAGGAAAAAACATTAAATTTTAAACTTAAGTTTTATTTCGGCCTGAGATGAAATTATTAGATTTTGGACAAAGGCGGAACATTTGGGCCCCCCCATAAAGTACCCCCTACTTTATGGGAGACCGTTTTTATATTTTATGGAATATATCTGTTATTGATGTTTGGAGAAGAAAATTGTTCAGATAAAAATTACTTACAATATTATTATCTATAATTTTGGTTCTATACAATTTTTTTTTTAAATGGTCCGTATTCGAGAAATTTGACAAAATGTAATAAAATTCAAATTTTTAGGAAAATTGTTTAAATAAAAGTTATTTGTGATATCGATCTCTATAATTTTTGTTTTTTATATGATTTTTCTAAAATGGACCATATTAGAAAAATTTAAGGAAAAATTGCTAAATTTTAATTTTTCAGTATTTTCGTTTTCAATATCTATAGAAAAATGTTTTGAGTTAGATGTATGTGGAAAATGTATATATTTAGTTTATCCTCTAAACATTTATAGAGGTGCTGCAATAGGGTGTACAAAATAACCGGAAAAAGCCTATAATAATTAGATAGGAAAGTCATGTGTTGGACACATCAGATTTTTGAGGATAATTTGTTATAGGTATAAAAAGTAAAAGTTAATCAGTGAATGACAAGTGGATCACAAAGTAACTGGTATCTCTTCTATGAGTAATGTGAATATTATGACTTATTTAGTGTTAACCCATGGTTAATGCGCTAGAAGGCATTCAAAAGATTACAGGCCTATGAGTCAGAATTTGTTTAGAAAACTGGAACCAACATTTTCATAACACTACATGTCAACATATATTTTTAAAGTGAACTATTCTTACATACCTATGTATTAATTTTAAGTATTTTTAAAATATTTTTTGTGAAAATAATGTTAACTCATTGTGCCAAATTAAGATTATCCCTAAAGTAGTAGATGGTGTTTTAAATGTTATAACAATTTTGTAAATAGTTTTATTCTATTCTAATAAATAAAATTTGCTTAAATATTTAGTTACATTTTAATTATTTTGGTTAGAAATTCATCAATTTTTAGTTTTAAAAAATCAGTAATAAAATTATTTTTTTCTAAAATACTTCGGAATTCATCTCTTCATGGTAATCTCCCATCTTTTTACCTTCAAAAAACAATAATGCATTTTCTACAAAACCTTCAGAATCAGCATGTAAAATAATAAGGTTTCTTCCCTTTCTTGTAAGGCTTTTCAGGAATTGCTACCTTTAATAGTACTCAGTGTAGAAGGATCCATAATTGTAGATTTTCAATACAATTGTTTACTGAAGAACTATTATTTACGAAATAAAGTAAAAAACTAAGTAATGGATGAGATATCAAATTATAAAATGTCAGAACTGTCAACAATATCAATTATTAGCTGATGTTCATGATAAAAAGTAATGTGTGAAACTGACTGTAATCTGACCAATCAGAAGGCTACAGAATTGCCAACTTAAATTCAAATCGCTCCTCTTAGTTTAGAAACAGAGTATAGTGGAAAAAATTAAGGGATCAAAAAAAAATCTCAATATTTTGCGATTTTTTGAATGGCTATATCTTTGGTAAAAATGGTCGTATGTTAATAATAAAAAAAAAAAAAAAGCCAATTTGAAGCTTGAAGTGTCTAGTTTATGGATCTTACGATAAA